GATGTATGTTTATCACTTTTGACAAACGGTCTCGTTTAAATACGTTCGATAAATTATTGTCGTAGTTCTTCAGCTCTCTCTCTCTCTCTTTCTCTCTCTCTCTCTCTCTCTCTCTCTTTCTCTCTCTCTTTCTCTCTCTCTCTCTCTCTCTCTCTCTCTTTCTCTCTCTCTTATATCTGTCGGATAGGTAAGTATCCCGTTAAAGATGACAACGGCACGAATGCTCTGCGGTCGTGAGATAACATTATTGTATATTTAATGCATATACCAGGTGATTCATTTAAGTGGGTACATTCGTTATCTCGGAAAGTATTAACTTTTTACGGAATTTGTTTTCTAAAACATTTAAAAAACAAGCTGCTCTACAATTTAATATTTATGTTATTTTCTGTCACTCTTATTTATTCCACTTTTAAGTTCAGATTGGAGGAGAGTAGTGGATTATCATGTGTGTGGTGGTACGACGCGCGGCCTGTTAATAATGCACCACTACTCTTCTCCAACCCGAACTTAAAAGTGGATTATCTCGACAACGGCTTGACGAAAATTGAAAATTTCTACACTCAAATTTATTTTATTTAATACTCCGTCTATTTATGGATATTTAAATATTGGTTGCCATATGAAAGTCAAAAGTAGGTAGTGGTTTTACTCCCAAAAATAAAAGTGACAAAAAATAACATAAATATTAAATTTTAGATCAGCTTGTTTTTTAAATGTTCTAGAAAAAAATTTCTGGAAAAAGTTAATACTTTCGAAGATAATAAGTGTACTCATTTAAATGGATCACCCGGTATAATATAGTTATTTCGTCACGAGCCATTGATTAGGACTTTGGAAGAGTAAATTCGATTTCGGAGGAAATATTATTGTTTGATGACTTTGTTGCTATATATACTTATTTACAATATTATCGGAATTCTACTCTTATCCCGTATATTATAGAAATATATCTACTTTTGATTTTCAAAATATTAAAAGGTGCTTAGCAATGCCCATGTTTTTATAAACTCATTTACATCATATGTGTCTGCAGTAAGAATTTTAGCTGACACTACTACCAACCTCTAATAATGACGGTCCTGAATTTCACCTATTAATTAGTTACGTTTATACTCTATTTAGATCTTGTCGTACTCCGTCATACATCCATCATTTATTTGGTTTACTTCTAGATCTCATTCTCGGTTGACATTCAGTCGATACCCCAACTTCATTAATTTTTTTGTCTTTTTATTGCATGTCTAAACTACTAGATTATTTGTCCCTTCACGTAGATATTTTTATATGAAAGGTTTTTTATTCTACATCGTCTATATTTAACTCCCACATCTGGCCTAAATAGTAAATTATATTATCCGTAATGGTAACTAATGTAAACAGTAAATCGTAAACTATTGTGCTATAACGTCTGGAAAAAAATAAACATAGAATATATAAAAATAATTTTCTTTTTTCTATGTATACATTTTAAATTAAAATTGTCATTAAATATCAAATATATAAAAATTTAGAATGTTTCATTCAAAATATTTGTAAGCTCGATCGTCGTATATTCGCATCAGAAACAATCGTTCTATATATTTTATAGATGTCATAACGAGCACTTGAAATCCCGGTCACTGCGAGTAATTTGCGACGCTGACTAATTAAAATCGGCCTTCTTTAGTTACAGTAATAATTATTAGTATAATATTATACCAGTTCCCTCTCGTATTTTCGTCTTTTTGTGTTTCTCTTCGGTGTGTAGATGGTACACATTCAACTACGCAATTATATGAATGAATGATGAACGGATTGGGCGTGACCGCAAACCCTTTCTGTTGATATAGGTATTCCAACGTCTACCTTTACACCCTCATCGTGATGTGCCAGATGTAAGACATGCACACTCATTAATTAACGGTAAAAAATACGTTATGTATTTGTTATATTATATTTTAATGCTTTGTATAAAAAATAGATATCGCTGTTGCCTTGGTGTTGTTGTTGATATTGTTATTGTTATTATTATTACCTGTAGCAAAGACGATTTCACCATGAGGGAGTAAACATGAAGGGAAAAAAAATCCGTCACGAAACTCTTTCCCCTATGGAAAACGTACAATAATTATTATTCGAGTGAAATCGGATTTTTTTTTTTTAATTGTCTAAAAAATAACAATATTATAAATAACCTTGTGTAAAAATGGCTATGAAAAAATGTGCATAAACCAAAATGGCCAAAGGAAAATATAAAATTAAAAATAGGTACTACAAAGTGTAATATACTATAATATACAATATACATCCTATATATTGAAAAATAAATTTAATATGTTTTAATAGTAAGGTGGTAGAGACTAGAATAGCTATAACGAGTACGGTTACTTATACATTATTTATTATACTTTGAATATTTTTAAACTAATAATATCTATCTTAAACTTGAATATTTCCCTGTTTTCTAATTAAAATCAAAGAGTAATTATTTAAGAGTATTATTGTATAATCTCATGTAATAAATAAATTATAAAACAAAAACACAATATCAGCTGCACTTGTAATATATTTTAATTAAAATCGCTCTTAAACCATTTTAAGATCGTGCATTAATACTTTAAACAGAGTTAGTATACTGTATAGTGTATATACTATATGCTATACATGATATATTAATTATGCTCTCTTCAATACAGTTTATCTAATATGGTTTTTATTGGAAATATTTGTTGACAATTGAATCAAAATATAGATATGTATATTTCAGAAAAGGTTACTCATATTAATATTTTTTTCTTAGTAAATCTAGTAAATATAGTTTTGAATACAAACACGGGTAAACATGAGATTCGAAATTTCGGAAATGATGTAATATTATAGCTGCATTAAACTTCTATTTCGATAGAATTATTTGTATATAATACGTTGATTAAAAATGTTACGGAATTGGAATTTTATAACAATTTAATGTTTTTTCGTGGTTGAAAACGACGGTGAATATAAAATTAGTGTCTAATAATTAGGGCTCGAACTTTATCGTATTAAAATGTGAGTAAAATGAATTGTATTATTGCTTTAAAAATATACTATAAAATAACATTAAAAATGCCTTAATCAATTCATTGATAAAAACAACATGTTCAACCCGTTTAACTAAACCTATAAACATTTTAATGAAAAGAAAAATTGTAAAAATTCAATATATTTTAATTTAATTTTAATTAAAATATCTTTAAAAATGTTTTTTCTTTATAATACACTAAATTAAAAACGTTTTAAAAATAAACATAAACCTAAATATTTATATGAAAATTGTATATATTATTATACTTATTGCTTATAAAACTTAATAAAAATTAAATAGTAATGGAAAATGTTGATAAAAATATTTGATCACGAAATTAATATCATGATACTATCAAAACCAAGAACTGAAACCATCAACGTTTTGGTTATAATGGGAGAAATATAAATAAATGTTTAAGAGTCATTTATCGATATTTCAATATTTTTTTCAAACCATGAAAACCATTTTTCGACCCCTTACGAAAACAGAGTTGTAAACTTAAAATATAGTTATTGATTATTATATTGTTGTAGGAAATACGAAGGGATGTAAAATGTCAAGTTGATCGGATCACGGGAAGTGGGTCAAAAGTCGATCACAATTTTTAAACTATTTTTTCTTCTTCGAATTTTTTCACGAGTAAGTAAATATAAATTTTAAAGCATGGTAAAAATGTGCATAAAAATAAATACAAATCAATTGCAATAAAAAGTGTTGTTATTTTTTGTGTAAAGTCGTTGAAACATATATTGCACTTTAAAATAATTCCATTTCCCCAAAAAATGTGCAAAATCAATAGATTTTAAGCTCTATGATAATTATTAATATATGAAGCCTATTTAGGTTCCCACAATTTTATTTTAAAATTTACATAATAATATTCGTAGATCGATATAAAACATTTCTCTTTGTCAGATGAGATTAATAAAATTAACACGTAAGTACACTTGAGTTTTGCAAATAAATCTTATTTTATATACTTTATATATTCATATTGTGCGTTAAAAAAAACACGGTTGACTGATTGTGTTCCGGATATAGCGCTTAAACCCTAGCCTAATACCTAGCTACGTCACTGCCGGTCACTAGTTTGCGTTAGGTCGTTGTTGCATCTCGGAAGTTGGAGTTTAACCCGTGCGATGTTTTTGTCGTTGGTCATCCGTATGTCAATGTAAGTATTGTCTTTAGTAACGATTAGTAACGTCACCATCGCCGTCACTATCACCTCAATCAGTGGCGTAACTACAGGAGGGAGGTAGGGGAGGGGGTTTAGCACTCCCAGCTGAACTCCAAGCGTCTCATGCTATGTCGTAATTTCAAATACCTATCACCCACCTCGAGATCTGCTATCAAACTATTTCATTACCAATGGAAGACCAAGGGTTCTCTACCATCATAGGTATGAGTGGATAGATGTGGATAGTTGAGGAGAAAAGTGAGCCTATACAAACGCACTCTTGGAGTCTTGACTTTTATATATTATAATATAATGTGATTTTTTTTTTATCCATATACTGACTGATCCATTTAAGTGGCTTTTTTTTGGAATATGTTTTCTACATTTTTGCCGGGAAATTTAAAAATGTCCACTATTGGGAAGGATCCACTATTGAGAGGTGTTTATTAATAGAGGTTTCACTGTATTGTTTTCTTGTATACAATATAATAAATATTATATTAGATTAGTTTAATTAAGCTCGGTGCCCCTGCGCTGGCCAGCTCATAATTTTGTTACCACATTTTATTTTATAAATTATTATTATTTTCCGTCTCTCAATAATAGACCAACACAACGGTAAGACAAAAAGTCGTAATGTTGATAAATTTAAATTTTCCCAAAGAAAAAATATTTACAGTTGTTTATAAAGTTACCGCCAGATGAAATAATAAAACTTGAATGATAAGTGAAAAATATTAAATGTATTTTAAGTTGAAGCTACAAAATTTAAAAGCTGTAGTTTTTTTTTCGATTTGTTATAAAATACAATTTAAATTATCGATATGGACGTTGGTAGGGTTTTTGGTGATCCGAGTGGTCGTCGGTATTTTTCGGAAATTTCTCGCACATCTGCCAACCTGTAACCGCTAGACATTTTACTGACGAACGCCTCTAGCTTTTTTATGCGGTCAACAATCTCGTGGATTATACTCGGACTGTACTTGTACCCTTGGCCCAACGATTCCATATCGTAGAGAAATTTTTCACGATCTTCGATTTCCAAAATTACTGTAAAAATAACGTAGGTATATTGAAAATTATTAATAAATTGATAATTTACCATAAAAATACTACATCTATTCGAGTAACAATGTTTACAAAAACTATGTCATAAAGTTGAAGTAATATTATTATTAATATTGTGGTGATAATTTCGGAGCGTAGTGAGAGATTTTTTTTTTTAGATTCGGAGCGTGTTGGTTTACCTATGATTAACAATTTTTCTACCAGAAAACTTGCTCCAAAGTATAGACCGTAGAATCTTTTCTGACATTTTCTCTAGTCGGAGAACTGAACGGGTTATCTTTTGATTTTCCGAGGGATTTTTGAAATAATCGGGAAAAACTCGAAAGAAAAGTATAGGTAATAACACCGCCGCGGCGTTATCGTTTTTATTGTTTTTATTATGTTTACACGATGTTTTCTACCAGAAATATTGTTCCAATAGAAAAATATCAAGAAGTATTTTTTGTTGCATTCTAGTTGGTGAAAAAGAAATTAATTTTTGATTTTCTTTGTAATTTATTTAAAAATTGAGCAAAACCGAAAAAAAATGTAGAAATAACCAGATATTTTACGAAAACAATGCTTTTATTATTTTTAATTTTGTTTTTTAATGTAGTTAAGTTTAAAATATTCATAAAGACTTGACATTTTGACAGAAAACTTTAATATATTTGCTTTTTCTAGACGTGGTAAAATTTTTAAAATATCCTGTTTTGAGATAATTATAAACATTTTAATTTTGCGAATTTTACATGTAATTTCTATTCGGTAGTTATTCTGTGGATAAAATTGTTAGACTAAACAGAAAATGAAAATGAAAAATGAAAAATGAAAATTTAACAGAAGGTTCCTTAAATGTCGTACTTTGTGGTAAAAACAAATAATTGAGCTTTATGTAGTATATATATTTTTTTTTATAAAAAAATTTTAATATCAAATTTTAAAGAAAATCGTTTGAGTAAAATATTATGGGGAACAAATTTAATTACTGGTTCATGCAAATTTTTCAATTATTTAAACTAACATGAGTACATGACTTTTTTCGTATAAACGTGTTATTTAGTGAATTTATTAGTATAGGTATGTTAAATATATGACAACATAACATAAAACTTAACAAAAAACGATACACATAAAAAAAAAATACTCACTGATCATATGATAATTTATATTTTTTAAACTACGAATATTTTTTTTAATAAAAACCTAATATTGTACACTGTTAATTTCAAGATGGTTATTCGGATTGTGACAAAAGAGATGTTACGTCAATCACTTGATAATATTATGAACTAATAAAAGAATATAGACGAAAATAAATAAAATAAGCCAAATGTTTTGGGAGGAAGGCAGGGCCGGATTAAAATTTTTGCCGCCAATAGGCGTTGTCAGTGCGTGTAAACAATATTAGTATGGCCGCCCTAACTTACTATGTATACATACAATTTAACAACTAAATAATAATTTATAAACAAATCTAACATTTTTTTTTTTTTCTACACATATTTTGGGTAGTTCACGTGTTCCTGTGCACCATGGCACGAGCCGCCACTGATATATATTAAGGCATTTCGATTTAAATTTGTCACACTATCTAATTGTTAAAATAAAATATTTAATCATAATTAATATTTAATCGTAAGAAATCACTGCTTTACAACGGTGAAAAACGTTACGGTACACGAGTACGTACCTTATAAATTAGGTATAATATTATCTTGGGTATCATTGCTTATCGCGAAAATTTTCCCATATTGTAGATTGCCTACTATAAGAATATAATCGGCCGATACGGGTTTTAATCGTAGATAATAAATGGTTTTAATGCTACCTTCCATCACGATTTACTACTTATATGATAAAATAATATTAATAATCAAATAAATAATAATATATATATACTCAATTTCGGTTGCGGTTTATTTTGAATACTCAATAGGTATCGATATTGTTTCACATCGTACCGTGTTAAATTAGTAGGTTTTAATATTTTAAATTCAAAAATAATACCTCGACGTATTTTTGCGTCACATCATAAAAAAAATTAGCTGTCCTTTAATATTTGCAGCCATAGGCTATAGCCTAAATAGCCTAAGTGGTAATACGGCCTTTGGGGACGGCTTAATACTGTTCATCGATATGTGTACCTATTATAGTATTTCATTGATAAGGACTTAGTTTGGTTTATCGTTGCTAACGGCTATACATTGAATTCCCATATGTATCCTACCGTCTCAACTTCACACCTATAACAGTGGCTGCACTCACGTGCGAAGTATGTCAGCCTTTTTTTTTCAGTTTTGCTGAATTAATAATAAAATTAAACTGAAAAAATCACATGGAAAACCAAAAACAAATTACTTTTTCAGAAACAACATATAAAATTTCTCTTGTATTTTTTATATTGGAGCAAAATGCACATCATAGTAAAAAAACCAATCGATCTCGTGTTTCGCTCCAAAATTTAAAAAAAAATTCTATTAAACAAACTGCGTACAACTTAGTTTATTAACCAGGTTATTTTTTTTTTTTAGATTTAAAAATAATATAATACTTTATATTAGGTATTTTATCTTTACAGCCTTTGATTAATATTATTACATGGTCCTTTATAATGACCAGTACTCTGCAGTATAGTAGATAAACGGTGATTTGTTTTTTTTAGTAAAATAGTCATAAATTATTAACAAATATTACCCACTCACTAATTCTTATTAAAAAAAAAATTGTTAATTTAAACATTTTTATCTAACGAACTTATTTAATTTCATAACATTTATAACATATTATGCTGTAGTTAAAAACAAAAAAATTATAATTTACTCTAGTTTTCTTTTAGATTCCACATTTGTGTGGAAGAGAAGTTAACTATGGATATAAAAAAGTCGTAATATTTAAGTAATATATTTTGTACATTTTTCCGTTTTCTTTCGGTACTTCAAATTTGATAAGACAACTCCAGATAAAATCAAAAAAATTACATCCTTAAAGATTATCTCCCCACACCGATTTTCTTTCAGAAAAGGTGCTACATTTAAAAATCTGAATAAGTTTTCTGGTAGAAAAATTGTGCACAGATAAAAAAAATTAAAAAATAAACATTTTTGTAAAACCAAAGCTTCTTCACACCATTCAGAATCTATAATCGATTTTTTCTTATTGTGTTTAGTTTGGAAAAGATGTTTGTTGATATATTATTATAACTATATTATGGATATAATAATATACCAATGTTATGTAACCAAAATTTTTTTTTTTTTTTTGTTTTGTATTAAAGACAAACTGCAAGTACACGTTTCTTAAATATATTTATTGCATTTAACAATAATGTTGCTGGGTAAACCTAATTATTATTGCTTTTTGAAATATTCGAGAAGAACTCATCGTTTAATATTAGCTATTATAGGATACGTAAATACGGATAGTAAAAGTTTCTAAATTGTGTTCGCGTGTGTTCCTTAATCCCTGGGACTGTGGTTAAGTTTATAGTTAACACTGCCACAGATAAACGTATTATGATCAAACTAGTTATATTACACGCCATTTCGCTGCACTCGAAATCAATAAAATACACCACAAATGTGCGGTTAATTAATTGATTAAACGCCTCGAACTGTATAGAAGTTAAATGTAAGTTCCCCTTCCAGGTTAGTAACTTTAGAGAAACTCTGGTTGGGATTACCGTTATCTATAATAATATTATAGAGATGGTATTCGAGTCGATCACCTCATCGTTACTATATATTCAGTTCATTTATTTAAATGTAGCTGATATACGTTTTTCAGTGATGGTGAGTGTATTTCAATGTTAGTCAATTATTAATAACACGATTCGCCTCATTGCTTATAATGGTCAATGTTTGGCGAAACGGCAAGAAAATTATAGCTTGTGTTTGATGTCTGAATGTACTTGAGCGTTTAAAAGCAATGCCAAAGGCGTAAGTTAGAGAGAATATAAACCACTTCCATTTTAAATTACCTCGCCCTCAATGTTTATTGTTTAAACGTTATTGATAATCAGTACCATTAGAGCCAGAAATTATTCTAGGAGGGGGGGGGAATTTTATACCTTATGCAATATGCAATTCGATAAAAAAATAAAAATAATGAAATAAAAAACGCCATAGCGTTATTTTTCGTAAATATTTTTCCGATAATTTTTTTTCGGTTTTTCCCAATTTTTTTTTAAAATATTTATCTTCTCAATGCACCAACTAGATAAAAAAAATATCCTTTCTAAAAATGTGCTACACTTGATACTTTGAAAAAAGATTTTTGCTTGTCCATAGACAGAAAAAAAACGCATTATAGTTAAATTAATAGATCCCTCATTACGTTCTGAATTTTGAAAACCATTAGACATGATATAAACTTATTGTTAATTTAATAAATTACTGTCCATTTTTGATTAAGGTTTAAAGATGATAAATTGTTACCTGAATCGATGAGTTCTTCTTCGGTACATTCTTCTTTGGACGTTCTCTTGATAGCTGATTTCTTACCGATTAGCGGGTCCAATTTCGTTATTTTTCCGTAGGCCATAATGCTTTGCAATTTTTCTTTTTCCGCATTATAGTTTTCTAATAAAAAAAAAATAAAAATTTGTTGTTCATAAATATTTTAATTATTTGGATAATAATAATACTAGTATACTAGATACCCATTTACATATAATGGCTATAACAAATTATTGTGACTCTCTCCTTTTAATAAATACAGAATTACAATTGTGGTTACGTGGCTGTGCAGAATAGTTTCATAATAGAATAAATTGTCGAGGGAAATAGGATATGATCAAAGGGAACAGAACTGTAGGGTGACTTATAAATCGTACAGCTTATAGGTAAACAGGGTGATTTATTAAGATTCTGCACCCCTTTATCGTGATTAAATTATTCATAAATCATATTAAGATTTTTCGAATTTTTAAGATTAGTTAAACACTATATTTTTGAATACTTTGATTTGTCTTAACATTTCGGGAGTATCTTGTGGTGACAAAAGCGTAGCTAGTCATTTCATCACGAAGGGGAGTAATAATCAAGATATATTTAGTGTCATTTTTTAACTATAATTTAATATAAAAATTTTAGATGTGACAATTTGTTTCATAATATTATGTTATTATACATTATTGATTCTAACTAATGAGATCCAAAAAAAAAAATCATGATACATATGTATTTTAAATCAATGTAAGTTGTAGATTTTCAGAAAATCTGTTTAATATTGCCTGCTGAAATTCGTTTTTTTTTTTCAAGGACCAATTTTCTATGTACAATGTATACTCAACATACAAAAACATGAAACATGCATGTCCAATCAAATTGTTATTGAATTACATTATTATTGGAAATTACGAATTGTCTTATATTTTTAAACGTTAAATAATATACCATCCATTTAAATAATTTTCTATCATAGTTGAACGTAACCACATCTTGATTCTCCTCAAGATACTAAAGGATCTTTCAATAGTAGGTAATAGTACATGCTAGTGCTAAGGCAATAAAAAGGGTATGTTTTATAAGAGGAAAAAAAAGACCTGCTTCTTTGACTACATCACTCAATTCCACTGTTTCAAGTTCTTTATCAGTTAATTGTCTGTCTTTTCGAATTTTTTACTATAATTAAGTTTCACTATCAGAACTTTGTAAGTTGTAAAAATCAACAAAAGTTTGCGTTTTCTTCTTGAAATTTTGAACATTCATATTAGTGTAATAAAATGTTATATTGTATTAAAAACAGTGAAAATGCAGGGATATCTTCATTTTGAAATCTGCAATCTAGTGATGTTATGAAAAAGTCTTAGTTGTTATTTGATACCACACTTTCGTCTTTGTCGCTATAATTATTATCACCATCACTGTTATCAGTCAGCACGTTTTCAATTTTGCGAAGCTGATACTAAAAGCATATATACACCACAATTGAAATCGAACTGTGTCAGGCTACCATACAATTATTTTAAATTTGTGTAACTCGACACACTGTATTAGTTGGATGTCTGTAGGCTCAAAAACATGTTCGTAATTTATCACATAAAATTTTATTATTTTCGTAAAACTATATTTATATAAAACTATGAAATAATTAATCCTTACTAATCCTTATTTTTTGGGGGTAAATAATTTTACCTCCAAAAGGTATTCATATACCTACGTTTGAAAATCAGATGGTGCTCTATATTCAAAATTCCACAAATAAATAAAACTATAAGTTTAGTTATATTTCGGTTTTATTATGGCGTGTGGTTATTTTTTTTTTCTTGTGTCTTGCTCCAATCAAAAACTGACAAGAAACCTTCTTAGTTAAATATTGAATCTAGTGAGTACATTAAGGAAGTCATTTTTTTAAATTTTTAAAGCAGTTTTAAAAATAATTTATTGGGAAATCCAAAAAAAAAAAAACTATTTGAAAACGAACAGATATATGACGTACAATGGTTTCATTATTTTAAATTTTACACTTTATATTTTCTACCAGAAATATTGCACTAATAGAAATACGACAAGAGACCTTTTTTGTTGAATTTTGAATCTTGTTGGTGAGTTAGAGAGTATTTGTTTGATGTGTAATTTAATAATAGAGCAAAATTGGAAAAAAAACTTAGAAAAATTGGGAAAGTTTGTGAAACTAATGGTTTCATAATTATTTTAAATTTTGTTGTAATTCTGTTGAAAATATTTCTAGCCCTTTGAAATTTTGACAAAATTTTTATTGAACTGCTTTGTAAAATATACAAAATATCCTGAAAATATTTTTAGTTATTTAAATGTGGATACATTTGTTTGATCAAAAAGAAGTTGTACTTAGTGGTAAAAAATAATAGTGTAATGTAGTAATTTTTTAATAATTGTTTTTAGGTCAAATTTTGATGGTTTTTTGTTGTTTACAGATATAAATTAAATAAGTTTATGTATTTTTCATTCTTAATTTTCCACCTAAAACAGTGGCATACGAACAACAGTATTAAATTTTTTTTATTTTTTGTATTATTTAATCATAAGTATATAAATAAGATTGTAAACATTGTTCAGTGGCGTGCCCAGGAATTTTAAAAAGGAGGGGATATGGCAATTAATAAGAACATTAAATAAATTGTAAAATGGTTTTATCTATCCAAATCGACTGTGGGAGTAGGTAATTTAAAATCTGAATCCTAAAAAAAGCCAATTTCTTCTAATCAATACATCAAGCTTTTGCTCTTGGTTGAAATGTATGCATTTGGCTGAAATATATGCATTTTGTTATTAGATTACTTTTGTTTTATTTTTAATGTAATGAGAGAGGGATATAATCTTTAACCTCCTTCCTTGCCTACCCCCCTGACTTTGTTTTACGCAGATGATTAATGGAATGAACGAATTTCATGAATGAAATACGATTACGAATAATTTAAGAATTTATTTTGGTCCTCGTTTTAGCATTTTGTATACTTTACAAAGTCATTTGATTACCTACCTACCTACCTACTTATTCATTTGTATCACTATAGTTTAATGAAAATACAGGATTTTTGTTTACTTAATGTCATGTCTGATACGTAGGCTTGTGGTTCGTAAGCACCCGAATCGATAATGTTCTGGAGTGTCCGGGGTTTCGACGAATGGTACCGTTTGATGATGTCATTAACAGATTCTTTGGATTTGCTGGAAAGAGCTTGGGATACCCTCGAAGGTGGACTGCTGCCAGTTCTCAGCCATCCTTGCAACGACTTACGTTGTAGCGTCGTAAGGCGACTTTCTTTAATGAGTTCTACAAAAGATAAATAGTTCGTATAAATTATGGAAAAAAAACAAGAAAGCCAAATATTTTGGATATGTTCATCGATGGGTCAAGGATAATGAACACCGTGATTTTCGTTCTTTGTCTAATACATACTCACTAAAATTTAAATTAATTTTTTGGCAATCAGTCTCATTGATGTTGTAAGGTTGTACAAATTCTCAGTGTTAATTCAACGTGAAGTTTACATGAAATCGGTCAGGCTATTTTTAATTAAATTAAATTATTTTTTATACACTTTTATGAACCATAAAATCCACCAATTAAATGTTTGGAAGTTATAAACTTAAATTCAAAAAATGTAGTAAAATAAAATTAACGTGAGGGTAAAATATCCCCGAACAATTTCTTTGCTACGATGTGGCAAATTTTAATAGATAAAAAACATAAATTTATTTTCCTTTCAACTTGGCTGAAATAATAAAAGCATTTTGATATTAGATTACTAATATATTTTGTATATTTAAGCCAATGGTGGGAATAATCCCTTTGCCTACGTCACTGCTCCGAACTATACAATTAAAATCTATATATTGGTTTATTACAATAAGTAAATGATTTGATAAAATATAGAGAATTCAAGGAGTTAAGATAGCGATAACAACTCAGTGACAGCATCCCTAAATTATCGTTTTATTCGCACTAATCCCTAACTATAAAAATATAGGTGTAAAAGGGTAAAACATTTCTCCATTATTTTGATATCGTGTAAATTATTAATCTAGACATTTCTACGTGACAAAAGTCTCGCTTGTGTCATTAAAATATATTATTACACTGACATACGATATAACGATATTATTATAGGTATTATCAGTAGGTTCATAGGATAAACAAATTGATGATATCTTTTGATAGTAAACAAACACTGGTACTTAACACAGACATTCCATAACGTATTTTTTGTACGGAGAAGGAAAATAGAAGTATTGTAACAAACAGAGCGTAAATATACTGTAAACAATTATTATTACTGTTCTTGTTTATTTTTTCTGCAGACGTTTTTTAACATAAACTATTTTTTTAACTTAAATAGCAAATAACAATAATAATTAAATTTTTAAAGTTATATTGTTCTACCAGAAATCTTTGTCCAACCATCAAGAATAGCATATTTTCTGAAAAATTATTTTGTCTAGTTTGTGAGGAAAAATGTTGTTTGATTTTCTGTATAGTTTTCTTAAAATTTGTTTCTGAGTGTAGCGAAGAATGTATTGGTTTTACAGAGATGTTTTTTTTTTTTTTATATATATATATATATATATATATATACTGTATATAAACATAAATCCAGAAATCTTGCTCCAAAGTATCAAATATAGCACTTTTTCTGAAATAAAATCTAACTGAGATGACACTTTAGAGCGGTCATTTTTTTCCATTTTTCCTCCAGGAGTTTTCCCAATAAATGGGAAAAACATGGTAAAAACCAGGAGAACAGAAAAGTAGACACAGTATTAAACAGACAATTATTTAAGAGAATATGTTGCAATTATTTTACCATAATATAACTTATATATTGTTAACAAAGCAACACTATTAATCGAACTCCGCTGGGAATCGTTTCTCGTTAGCAATGGTTAATCGTTGCTTACAAATATACATTATATTTTCTCTCTGCCTTCCAACTTCTCACCTATAATAGTGGCCTACCCACGTGCGAAGTATATCGGTCTTTTTTGTTAAAAACACTTATAGATACTTGTAGTTTTCAAAAAATACTTATATTGACCTTTTGCGAAAATGGTAAAATTGACAAAACATTCTAGTTATTTTTAGTCTAATTAAAAGTATTTGATATTTTCATGTTTTTATGTATGTAATGTATACATGTTTTATATAATTTAATTTTTGGAAATTTTGTGTAATTCTTATTTGGTAGGTATCTGTTATTAAATTTGTATGACTTAAAATAAATGCCTGAAAATTTAATACAAAATACACTATAAGTTGTCTTTATTTATTTGAAAAATAAATTTTCGTTTATTGAATTTTTTTTTTTATAAGCGTTTTAAAAATAAATGTTAACAAAAATTGTAAAAATTATGGCATTTTAGAATACATAAAGGTAAGATACATAAAATAATTTAACTTATACCTGTAAGCAACAATAAACCATTGCTAACGAAAAAGGATTAGGAACTAAGTCGGTTGTACAAATTTTGAAATGTCGTAATATTTACTATTTTTTTCAGAATTTGATATTAAAACTACAATAAAAAAAATAAAAAATAATTATTTTTACACATAATTATTATTTTTTTTTCTCAACCACTAAAGTTCGATTTATAATGGTGCTTCTGTCAAATGTTCAAGTATTTCTGTTTAGTATAACAATTATATCTAACTACCAATTAAATTGTATATTTAAATAAATGCAAATAAAAATGTACTCACAGAATTTAAATGTCTATAAATAGCTCAACAATCAGATATTATAAAATAGAAATATTAACAGATATTTACATGTAGAAAAAAAATGTACACATCATAGTAAATCCAATGATTCCTCGCTATAATCCAAATTTAAAATTAATAGATACAGTAAATAATTATATAAATAAAAAAATAATATATAGAAAAAAATAATAATACATAAATGAATGAATGCCTTGAGTAGAGTATGATAATTATGATTGTAGGTAGGTTAAGAAATATCAATTATTTGGTTAGTATTTATTATCTAAATGTATTGATATAAGATATTATCTTTAAAATCGGTTTGTACGTTTAAAATATTATTAAAATGATTTTTCTTTATTTCATCGTATATATGTAATTTTTCTAAAACTGAATTAATGTAAATGTTATTTTGGATATTTAATACTTCTAAGTCTGTATTAATATCAAAACTTATAATATTATGGTTATTTTCTAAAACATGTAAAAATTGAAATAGCGAAAATTGAATTAGTTATTTTATATTTTAGGTTTCTGCGTCCAAAATAATATTTAAATTTAAAGTACTTACCGTTAACAAATGTCCGGGTTTCCGCACTGTACGCCGAAGATCTTGCAACGTTAAATATTCCTCCTTGATCACAAACTTTCGTTCTGTACGCCATATTATAATATTTTATTTTCCAATTTAAAATGTAATATTGCAATGTTGGAACACAAGCTGTCTTACTGACGATCAATTATATAATTTGTTATAGTTGACTGTATATCATACAGTTACTCAGTTACCTAGCAATAACTTACAATGGTAACCCCTTGAAACCCTGTGTTTTAAAACACACGTATTCACATGGCAATGATGTTAGCAACCCCCCCAAAAAAAATAAATAAAATAAAATAGTAGTTTACGTAATTTGCTCGATGAACGATAATTTCGAATTGTTTAACACTTGAAATATGCAAAAATGAGGAAGAGAAAGTGGAATAGTAATTTTTTAATAGTTTACTATAGTTTAGCGATTAAAATAAAAATATTCCAGTAGGAATTATTATCAAACGCCGCCGCCTGAAAAATATGTTTATTGCGATTACCAAAAACAACACTGCAGAGCCATCTCACGGTGAAATGATTCGCTATGAAGCACTGGTAAATATTTCAAAAGAGAGCACTAAAAGTTTCATAATGAACCTATTGTGTATTAATAATTTAATTAGATTATACTTATTTGCGTTAACATTATTTTTGAGAAATTTATACTTATTTTTTTAACTTTTAATCAAAGATAACAACACCAAAATGCATTTAAACTAATACTTCATAAATGTATGTAATTTTAATATAAGTTGCAATTTGAAAAATCAAACATGCGTAGTGGTTTTATTTCCTAAACACTATCAACCGAATTCCGCACTGAATCTTTTTTCGTTAGCAATGGTTAATCATTGCGTACAGATATACATTAAATTTCTCCTCTACCTTTCCGACTTCTCACCTACAACCAGTGGCCCACCCACGTGTGAGGTATGTCCGTATTTATTTTATAATTTTACGTTGTAAATGTAATTTCACCGGTGCAGACAGCGTGACCTAGCATCGGTACGTCACCACCACGTATCCGAGCTGGTTGACAAACGAGAATTTACCGAATGAAAACAATAATATTTCATCTAAATTAATTCAATTCAAATATTTGTATTGGTTAAATAATCAAAATTGCATTGCTCGTGTCGTATGCAGACGATATAAAATGTTATACACTTTGTCCTAGATTACGTCATATAAGTAAGTGAAAACGAATGTTTGAATATATTGTACGCATACAGAGATACGATTGACTTTGAAATAAAACATATTGGAAGGTATCTACATTTTTTTGAACTCCCGAAAACTAAATGCCCAAAACTCAATGGGTGAGCCACTGTTATAGGTGAGAGATTTGGATGGAGGGGAATTTAATTTATATCTGTACGCAACAATAAACCATTGCTAACGAAAAATGATTCGGAACAAAGTTTCTTTAATACATGTGCGTACATTTTTATGTTATTCCTAATTATTATAAAAACCGATTGAAAAAAGACGTCCTAGGACGAGACGGGTGCAGCCACAGTTATAGGTAATTTAATGAATATCCGGTTTAATGGTAAACCATTGCTAACGAAAAAACGATTCTGAGTGGAGTTCGGTTGATAGTGTTGCTTTGTCAACAATATATCGATAGCCAAGAGGATAAAAGTTGTCACAAATACTAATTTATACAGAGGAGTGCAGTCAAAGTTTTTTCTTCAGTCAAGTTGTTTAGTCAAACATATTTAGATGTGCAAGTCGAGAACTTATAAGCTAAACCCATTTGTTTAGAATAAAGAAGAAGGGAAATAAGGAGACTTACTATAAAATACAAATAATATGAGCAATAGCATACGAAATGCCGAAATGCCGAAATGTCATAAATCTACGCTAACTGTATTTATACAAGTGCATATTGATCATAGTAATTCGGTGACCCACATAAATGTTATATAATATAGGTACTCGATCTGAAATGTATTCATAGTTATTAGATATTATAGTTTGAATATACTAAATACAGTTAGAACTTATATATTTTTCAATTGATGACCAATACCGTGCTAAAAAGTAAATAGGTCAAACGAGAATGAATTCGTTTAAAGGTATAATTATCATAATTTTTATGGTTATTTTTATACCACTTAATAGTATTCAAGGTAATTGTATATTGGAATTTATTAAAATTGTATTCAATAATCATCTGATTCTTATTAATATAAAAAATTATACATTATTGTTTCTACAGCCGGTTTTACAGGTATAATATTAATATTATTAGTATTTATTATCATTTTGATTGAATATCGAATCTTTATTCCTATTGTATTTATTTGATATTAAGCATTTGTTCATTATTTTATTCATATTTATTTTCAAAAATAATAAATATGCAAATATTAAAAAATACGAAAACAAATATAATGAATATATGACAAAAATAACAGCACACAGATTATTATACAAAACAACTATCGATGGAAGTTTATGACATTCATACGTATACTCATTTACTAATAAAATTAAAAAATTACTAATAATTTATTTACTGTCGAAATTATTCAGATAGAAAAATAAAACTTTAATGAGCTTAGCTTCTTAAATTATTGCCGTATTGTGAGCGACTGATCCAAATTCATTGAAACTTAAACTATCAATTGTAGATTTGTAAATAAATAGGTACACAAAATTATATTTAAAAAAGACGTCTTAGGATAATAGGGTCGGGTGCAGCAACTGTTATTGGTAATTTAATATAATATATATATGTAAGCAATGGTAAACTAATGCTAACGAAAAAAACAATTCTGAGCTCAGTTAATGCTTTTTCAACAATATATATGTCATATTATGGTAAAATAAAAAAACAGACATTATACATTTTCTTTAATAATATTTGTTTAATATTGTACCGATTTTTTCAGTTTTCACATATTTTTCCCCGGTTTTTCGAATTTGCTGAGAAAACTCCTGAGAAAATCGAAAAGTGAACTTTTTAAAGTACCTTCCCAGTCAGATTTTTTTCAGAAAAAGTGCTATCGATGTAAATTAGAGCAAATTTTTGTGGTAAAAAAAGTTGTTCATAGGAAAAAAAAGGCCAAAATATTTTTCAACCAATACCTACATTTCTTACATTTTTCAAGTTTTTTCTCCGATTTTCACGATTTTTTTCATTTATTGGGAAAACTCTTAAGGAAATCAAAAAATTACCGCCCCAGTTCCCATGTACATAAAATTTTCTTTCGGAAAATAAACTTTACTTGATACATCGGAGCATGATTTTTGGTAGAAAAGTTTGCACAACAAATCTAGGGGTATTTTGCGATTAAAATAGTCCAACTGCAAAATGGCTTGGGGCTCTTAAACAGTTCGAACTCGCAAACCCTAAGTAGAAATTAGGTATGTATAAATTATCTGACCATTCAGCTATGACAAACATTTTTAAAAGTAAAAAATATAGAATTATTTAGGGAAACATAAAATATTCACATAATATCAGAACTTCAAAAAGCTATAACTTCGAAACATAGTCTGTCCATTAAATTCTGACTTCACCACCGTTCTAAATCGAAAATATACATATGTTCAAATAATAATAATTTTTAACTCACATGATTTTCGCCAAAAATTTAATATTAAAATTCCGTTATAAAAAAATATACTACATTAAACTAAAATTTGGTTTTTTTTTACCATAATGTAAAACTCTTAGTGATTCTCTGAGAAAATTTTCAAGTACTTCTTTTAGGTCTAATAATTTTAACACAAAGTTCATACTGAATAGAAATGACGAAGAGAACGCGAAAATTTAAAATATCCATAAATAGGTCAAAAAAGACTTGAATATTTTGAAAATTTTAGCTCTTCTCAAAAAGGCAAATATATGTTTTCTGTTCAAATTTCAAGTCTCTACGAATATTTTTAACTGAATTACAATAAATAATAAAATTAAAAATAATGAACGTATTATTTTTGTAAATTTCCATTTTTTTTTTTTTAATATCAAAAGTACTTAGAATAATATAAGTAACACAAAAGTTTTACATATGTCTTATTTAAAACAAAAAAAAACTGCTTTACGTAAATACATGATGACTCTGTGTAAAACTGTATAGGTAAGTAAAAATAATTATTTAATTCACAATTTTTTAGATTATTTCAAAAAAGTAACTGATACAGTAAATCAATCGGGTAAGTAAAATAGTGTAACTGAGAAGCAGACCAGCAGACCTCCTATCTAAAGAAATTTTTCTCATTTTAACATAATGAATATTATCCTAAATTGTACATAGTAGTAAATTATAGCAATACTTTCTTAAATTTTCTTTTTTTCTTACGTTTTTACATGGTTTCTTTCGGGTTATATGAAAACCGTTTGGAAAATCAAAAAGGAACCTCCTAAAAGTAGAATGTCGACAATATTCACTTTCAGAAATAGTACCGCGCGTATATATCTGAGCAAGATTTCCGGTAGAGTTTTGTACACAGTACAAAAAAAAAATAATAATAAAAATAGACATTTTAGTAAAACCAATACATTCTTCTTCAACACCCAAAATCTAAGATATAGGATTCTGTTTAAAATTAATAATTTGTCTTTAAATTTTATCTCTTTAAGAAGTACATAAATTAATTAATATCAGTCATACTTTGAATAATATACAATTCAAAAGTTTTATATATTTTTTATTAAAAAAAAAACGTTTAGGTTAATTTATAATGACCATGTGTAAAACCGTATTGGAACATAATAATTATTTAATTTACGATGTTTTAGAAACATTCCAAAGGGTAGCTAGTAGAGTGAACCAATCAGGTCAGTAAAATAGTGTAACTAAGAATTATGTATTTTAAAAAAAACCAGCTAAACCACTATCCAAAGAAATTTTTCTTTTTTAACATAATGATTTATATCCTGAATTATACATAATAGTAAAACATTTTAATAAATTAAATCCACTAAAACCGACCATATCTTTTTGACATTGTAAATTTAATATGCAATTCCCATGAACTATAGACCTTTTAAAGTTTTAACATTTTATGAAACATTTTTCATAACTCAGTTGATAAACGTATAGTATCAGGTTGATTGTCCGTTCTCAACACAGATGTTGCAAAGAATTTTTTCAACGGACAACGTTGCATTGCGTTGGGTGTAATGCATAAACATATTATTATGCCAGTAGTGTAATGTGGACAATATATTTTTAATATGATTTATGGTATCTTTAACCGTGATTTAAAATTTAGAAAAAAGGTAAACAAAAATAAAATATTTTCAAATAGGTATATTGTTCGTTACTCATTACTTCTGTACATTAAAGTAATACCACTCATAAAATAATAAATATAAATCTGGGAAACGTTTTCAAATTGTAATGGTAATATTGATGGAAAAAACACAAACAATTTTTTTCTGTCCAAATTTCATGACCCTACGAATATTTTAAATTGAAGTATAGCAAAAAATAAAATTAAAAAATGATAAAAGCACTATTTTCGTGAATTTCCCTTTTTTCCTACTTTTTATCCTGGTGTTTTCCAGAAATTATGATAAATACATAGAAAATCAAAAAATATCCTTCTTAAAGTACTATCTAGACGATATTTCTTTCCAGAAATAGTCCAACGCGTATATATCTGAGCAAGATTTCAGGTAGAATTTTGAACACAGTACAAAAAAAAAAAATAATAATAATAAATAAATATCTTAGGAAAACCAAGACATTCTGCGCTACACTCAGAAGCTAAAATAAAGGTTTCTATTTGAAATTTTTGATGTAACTCTAAATTTCATCTTTTTAAGGTATACCACAAATTGATTAATATCAAACGTATTTAGAATAAAATAGGTTTCGAAAAATGTCCACATATTTTTTATTTAAAAAAAAAAAACTGCTATTACTTAAATTTATGATGATTCTGTGTAAAACTGTAAATGTACATACTAAATAATTATTTAATTTACGATTTTTAGAAACATTCCGAAGGGTAGCTAGTAGAGTGAACCAATCAGGTAAGTAAAATAGTGTAACTGAGAATTATGAATTATAAAAATACCAGCAGACCTTCTATCTACAGAAATTTTCCTTTTTTAACAGAATGAATTATATCCTATATGATAAATTAATCCTATAATAAATTATAACTTATCTTGTTGACATTGTAAACTTAATATATAATTCCAATAGACATTGGACCTTTCAAAGTTTTAACATTAGATACGGCAACGAATAATAGATATACCAATTGAGCAGAAACGTTTTTCTTAACTAGGTAAATAAACGTATAGTATTAGGTTGGTTGTTTGTTCTCAACACAGTATTTTGCAATGGATTTTTTCAACGGACAACATTGCATTGTGTTGGGTGTAATGCATAAACATATTATTATGCCAGTAGTGTAATGTGGACAATATATTTTTAATATGATTTATGGTATCTTTAACCGTGATTTAAAATTTGGAAAAAGGTAAACATAAATCAAGTATTGTTTCCATAGATATATTTTTCGTTACTTTTTACATCCACCATGGTCTAATCATTAAAAAAAACCAACTTGATAAATATAATTCTGGGACACGTCTTCATATTTTGTTGGTAATATTTATGGAACGAACACGAACATATGTTTTCTGTCAAAATTTTAAGTTCCTACGAATATTTTTAACTGATGTACAACAAATATTGGAAAATCAAAAAATGAAATCCTAAAAGTACTGTTTAGATCATCGGTTCCTAATCTTTTTTTTTGCCACGGAACCCTAATTGATTATACATTTCCTGGCAGAACTCTAGTTTGATAACATAGAATTATTACCTTGTAGTGTTTTTATTTTTATATTTGATTTGAAAAGAAAGAATAAATATAAATGAAAAATAATTATTTTATATATTAAAAAAATTTACTTGTCCGAAAAAAAAACAATATAACTATTATTATCAATTTAATCAAGAGAATGAAATTTTTAACATATTTTTTTAAAATATCCCTAAAATTAAGCATAATATCTGACAATTGAATGCGATTATCTGGAGTTGCATCCAGTATATTTCTGTACTTGCTTTTGGTGAAAACGTAAGCTGAAAAACCAGTCTTGCGTCCGTAAGTCGTCACAAACGGAAGCAGAACTGAAGTAGCCTTCTCAAAAATTGTTATCTTCTTTATATATAGAAATCTTTTGCTTCAAATTTTTATTTAAGAAAAGATGAATATTTAATATCAATCAAATTTTCATACTCTGACACAGTTAGCATTGATGGTTTGGTATAATTGGCGAATGGATTCTGCAACTAGTTCATGTTCTGTAACTTCTCTGGAAAATACTCTTTCAAGGATTTTTTAAGGCTTATCAAATGCCCATGTATATTTTTTTCCACATCTGAAGTTACTTGCATTTTCTTTCAGAAAGTCATTTAAAATAGTAAAACATTCGTAATTATGATGATCAACACATTCGATCCAGAAGCCAAGTTTGTTTTCAAGTGAAAACATTTTATCATTTACTGTAAATTTAGTCGTGGTTCTTCCCTGTAAGTCTTTGCATATTAAGTTGAATTTATCGAATATATCGGCCAAGTAAGCCAACTTCAATAATCATTGCTTATCGTGCAATAGTTCTACAAGCGTACTAATGGATGCAGATACGGTTTGTTTGACTAAGAATATCTTAAGCTCGTTGCACATTTCAAATAGTTTTATTAAAAATTTTCCTATTGAGAGTCATCTCACTCGCGTGTGAAGAAAAAGTGATTGATGCTGACTTCCCATATCTTTTTTAAAAAGCCTCGACTGGAGTAGACGTGATTTAACTTAGTTCACAATTTGTACGGCTTAATCGAGAACTGTCTTAAGTTCGTACGACATTTTCATCACGAAAAGGGCATGGTGATGTAAAACAGAGTGACTGCTATTACATTTAGGTGCAAAACCATTGATTCTTGTTATAGTACCTTTTATATTGCCAATCATAGCTGCTGCTGCGTCATTGCACACATCAATACATTTGTTGAATTCAATATGGCGCTTACTCATGTAACTATCAATAACTTTGGAGATTCCTTTTCCAGTTTTGTTGGTTTCTAAAGATGCACAGAGAAACAAATCCTCTTCAACAGATCCTCTGAAGGAGTATCTCACAAAAATAAGCAGTATTGATAGCCCGGCGATATCTGTACTTTCGTCTAGTTGTATTGCAAACATCTTGCTGTTCTTCAATCTACAAATTAATTCATCTTGAATGTGGTCTGAAATCTTGGAAATCTGTGGAATTCGATCAGATTTGACGTAATTGGAACACTGAACTGCTGTAACTTTCTTCGCTGCATCTTCACCGAGTACGTAGCTGACAATTTCTGTCATACATGTTTTTATTAAATCCTTTGCAATTGTGTGTGGTTTACCAGCATGAGCGATTCTGTAACTTAGCAGGAAGGATGTTTCTGCTGCATTTTCATTATCTATTTTCACAAGTTTGTGTAAAGCAGCCACACCAATTTTTTATACTTCTTTGTGTCTTTGAAAAAAACTAAAGCTTTTATCTTTCAGTTGCGGCTGGTTGGTGTCAAGATGTCGTTTTAGCTTTGCTGGTACTAATGAACTATTCACATTATTTTGTTACAAATAACGCATTGTACTTTCGGATTCTCAGCCATTTCTACACGAATAAATCCAAAGGACAAGTACAATTCATCATATTTTCTTTTTGAAGTAGTTCTCTACTGGGGTATAATACTTTCACTAAAAAGCGTATTGCATAGTTCCTATCCAGTACTATGACCTTCAGTATTTACCAAATCCTGAAATTAATTAAGAATACTTATTGTTATACCTTTAATAATTTAAATTAAGAACAAAATAAATTTAAAAAAAATTGACCATGAGTTCCTTTGCGCCCTCAGGCATTTCAATTTGATAAAGAAAATATAATAATATAATATAATTTTTTACAAAATTTAGTAGGCATGATGTTCATAATTTATATATTATAATAAATAAATAATAGGTTTATAAATTAGGCTTTTATGACACTAGGTAAATAATATAATATTCTTACAGACAAACCATAAACATCTTTTTTCGAACTATTATCATTATACTCTGCTGGTAAACATGTCGAAAAATGTTTGCAACTTGTGAGGTGCCCCATTTTGAGAGAGCTATCTATTATTATAAACTGAAATAAAAAATTACATGTAAATAAATCGATCTTATTTTATTATGAACAATGTGCATAGTTCATAGTAAAATAAAATCTCTACGAATAAACAAAAACATAGTAACTAGTGAAATCGAAAATACCTAGAGCCTCTAGCTCTAGCCTCTAGCGTCTAGCAATACTTGCTAGACTCAATAAAATGTCTGGGATATATTTTCAGATTTTGTTCGTGATACTAATGAAACGAACATGAACCTATGTTTTTTGTCCAAATTTAAAGTCCCTACGAATATATTTAACTGAATTACAACAAATAATAAAATTGAAAAAAAATTAAAGCATTTTTTTCTTAAATTTACATTTTTTCTTACGTTTTTCATGGTTTCTTCCAGATGATAGGAAAACCGTTTAAAAAATCTAAAAGTAACCTCCTAAAAGTACCATCTAGAAAATATACCCTTCTGGAAATAGCGCCACACATATATATCTGAGCAAGATTTCTGGTAGAATTCTGTACATAGTACAAAAAAAAAAAATAATAATAAAAATAGACATTTTAGTAAAACCCATACATTCTTACATTCTATACTCAGAAGTTATAATATAGGTTCCCATTTAAAATTTTTAATTAATCTCTGAATTTATATTAAAACCGATCTAATCTCATTGGCATTGTAAATATAATGTATAATTCTTATAGACATTGGACCTTTTAAAGTTTTAACATTTTTATTCTGAATATATAATCTTCGCTACACTCAGAAGCTAAAATTTAGGTTAATTTTAACCATGGGGTCATATTTTAATTAATCTCTAAATATCATCTAATTAGGTGTACACAAATTGATTAATACCAAATGTATTTAGAATTACATACGCTTTGATAAATTCTCACATATTTTTTATTAAAAAAAAAACTACGAAAATTTATAATGATTTTGTGAAGAACCGTAAACATACATACTAATTAATTATTTAATTTACGATTTTTAGAAGCATTCCAAAAAGTAACTAATGCATTGAAGCCATCAGGTAAGTAAAATAGTGTAACTGGGAATTATGAGTTATAAAGACACCAGCAAACCCACTCTCTAAAGACATTCTTTTTCTTTAACATAATCAATAAAATCCTAAATTATACATAATAGGAAATCATATAAATAAATTAAATCCACTAAAACCCACCTCATCTTATTGGCATTGTAAATATAATGTATAATGCTTATAGACATTGAACTTTTTAAAGTTTTAACATATTTATTCTTCGCCACACTCAGAAGCTAAAATTTAGGTTAATTTTAACCCTGGGGTCATATTTTAATTAATCTCTAAATATCATCTTTTTTAGGTGTATACAAATTGATTAATATCAAATGTATATAGAACTATATACGCTTTGATAAATTCTCACATATTTTTTATTAAAAAAAAAACTACGAAAATATATGATGATTTTGTGAAGAACCGTAAACATACATACTAAATAATTATTTAATTTACGATTTTTAGAAGCATTCCAAAAAGTAAATAATGCAGAGAAACCACCAGGTAAGTAAAATAGTGTAACTGGGAATTATGAATTATAAAGACACCAGCAAACCCACTCTCTAAAGACATTCTTTTTCTTTAACATAATCAATGAAATCCTAAATTATACATAATAGTAAATTATATAAATAAATTAAATCCNTATATTCTTCGCTACACTCAGAAGCTAAAATTTAGGTTAATTTTAACCCTGGGGTCATATTTTAATTAATCTCTAAATATCATCTAATTAGGTGTACACAAATTGATTAATACCAAATGTATTTAGAATTACATACGCTTTGATAAATTCTCACATATTTTTTATTAAAAAAAAAACTACGAAAATTTATGATGATTTTGTGAAGAACCGTAAACATACATACTAAATAATTATTTAATTTACGATTTTTAGAAGCATTCCAAAAAATAACTAGTGCAGTGAAACCATCAGGTAAGTAAAATAGTGTAATTGGGAATAATGAATCATAAAGACACTAGCAAATCCACTCTCTAAAGACATCCTTTTTTCTTTTACATAATCAATGAAATCCTAAATTATACATAATAGTAAATTATATAAATAAATTAAATCCACTAAAACCGACCACATCTTTTTGACATTATAAATTTAATGTATATTTCTTATAGACATTGGACCTTTTAAAGTTTTAACATATTTATTCTGAATATATATTTTTAGCTACACTCAGAAGCTAAAATATACGTAGATTCCTATTTGAAATTTTAAATTAATTTTTAAATTTCATCATTTTAAGGTGTATACAAATTGATTAATATCTAATTTATTTAGAATAATATACGCTTAAATAAACTTTCACATATTCTTTGTTCAAAAAAAAAAAAAAAACTGCTTTTACATAAATTTATGATGATCATGTGTTAAACTGTATAGGAAAAGAGTAAATAATTATTTTGATTACAATTTTTTAGAAGCATTTCAAAGAGTAGCTAGTAAAATGAACCCATCATATAAGTAAAATAGTTTGTCTAATAATTATGAGTTATAAAAATATTATTAGATCCACTATTTAAAGAAATCATTTCTTTTCTACGTTCCTCCCTGCACCTCTAATTATTTAGCGACTAGCTCGTGCAGCTATTAGAAAACTATTATATCTAGCTAATGCATATGAATCCCAACTTATTTATTTTATGTAACATGTATTTTCATCCATGTTGTTGTAATTTAAAATAACTGTTATCCTTGTTGTTATCTTATAAAATCGTATACATATATTGCCCTTTTGTTAGATGATTCAGCCCATAAATAAAATAAAATATAAAAAAATGTCTTAATTTATATACATTATGCAGTTTCAGTAATAAGTCAGCTTTAAAAATAAATAATAAAATAATAATTTATCACATTATTACTGAAATAATTATATTGTCTCATTACTTATTGAGACATTGTATTATTAACTGAGCTTATAATATATTTGTTACTTATTTTGCCATTGATCAATATTTTTTCATTCTAACTAATGTTAATTCCCAGCTTTATATTTATAATTGGTTATTTTTTTTATAGCGTTTTCCATGTTTCAAGGGAGTAAACAAAAGTCTGATGAAGAATTGATTCCTTTAATTGATGGTATTGATGATAGGACAGATGATCCTATTGCTGAAAGAGGTGATTATATATAAAACTCTATTAAAATTTTATACATTGATTATTTATTCGTTATTACTTATCTTTTTTTTTATTGAAATTAAGTTTTCGTTATGTACTTAGTATATATTATATCAAAATGTTTAGTTGACATTGTTTAATGATCTTCTAATGATGAACATGAATATTTATTTGAAGATATGTGTAACCGTAGACTTTTTATAGTTACAAAATATATAGAAAATTATTGTACTTCAATATTACATTTATTTAATAATTAATCAAGTTGAATTAATTATTATTTTATCATTTAGTTAAAATAACTTTAATCAAAGACAGAATCTATCGGAAATTGACTTTAATGGAATACCTCTGTAAAATATTTATATACCTAATAGATCTAAACCTTGATAATTTATTTATTAAACACTGGGTCAGGTATTAGGAATATTTGGTTATATTTTCAATATCCATTTAAATTTAAGAAAAGTTCTTTCATAACAAAATTTTGTCCGATAATTTCAGGTGAAAAATAGTAATAATAAAATAATTTAAAATCAGTCTTGGTTACGTAATGTAGATTTAAATCTGAATATTATTACCTATATGCCATTACTAGGTACGCACATGCTGGCCCACTAGGGTATCGACTATTTCTTACGACTCTTCTCATATAGGTCCTTAATTTATACACGTTTACCTACTCCTATTTCCTAAAATTACTTATAAGCTTTGTGATTTCTAAGTTAGGTAGGTAGGCTGGTACTTGAAGAATATTTATGATTTATGTTTATAAGTGAGTCCTATTTAATAATTTCCCGGTACAAAAATAGACTCCAGTACATGTCTGACAATGTCTAAAATTTGTATAATGCATTGCCTTATATTTTTTTCTTTTTAATTTTAGAATGCTTTGGTAAGACAATAGTTTTCATATATTATTGTATAACGGAGTATAAACTGATTAAAGTAAGTTTAAATTTGAATTATTTTAAAACAAATTTGTATAGTTTGGCAAATAGTAAATAACAAAATTCTGTTACGGACTCTGGATTCTCACGATAAATGTCATAATAAATATTGTAATGTACTTACCCGGATGTTTTCAAACGATTTTTAAAACATTAATGAAATATTTGTAAAATTGATTTATACCTATACCATGGTCAGCCAAGTATGTTTCTTCGAGTATCACACATAGTGTAATCACATTAGATTATAAGCTCAATTATATATTCAGACGCTTGTTATATGATCGATAGTGGAATATTGATACGCTGAAGCTGAGTAATCATAATTAAATAGAATTATAATTACACAAGACATACAACGACTATCTACGCGCATAATGAATTCAGAAAATAAGGGTTAACTATGAAATGTAACAAATCCTAAAAGCAAGTATTATTATAAGCTAATTCAACTAATTAATATTAATATAGATAAAGTTCGTCATTCTAGCACTTGCATATTAGAAATCAGAGAAAAAAAAAATCATATCAACGATTGTTATTATTTGTGTTATTTGTATAAGTTAGTTATAATAACATTTATATTTGGGCATTCATAGAAAACTTATTAAAGAAATTTTAAAATGGCTACGTAAAAATGCAATAAAAATGTAGGTACTTTAAAATTTTAGTCTTCTTATATTAAATATAAAGACATCAAAGATACACTAAAATACTAATGTATATAAAGAAAAAATGTTGTTCATCATAATCATTTAGAGCTGAGATAAGTGGAATGATGACTTCCCCTTAAAACTTGAAAATTTCTACTACTAGGTAGACAATTCAATAATAATTTTATTTGAAGTTCGGGAAAGTTAGGTCTGATAGTGAACCGCGTTCAAACTTTCAATGTGTTTTGAACTGTGTTTATTATTTTTCTGTTCTTCATTTTTTAGAAAACAACACTTCTTAACTTTACATAAAATTTTGTACTTTTTATAAATTGTATATAATTTATAACAAAGGCACCTACTACACTTATGTATAATATATACTGCATATCAATAAGTTTATTTTATATATACCTAATATGCTTTTTAGATTCTGAGTATAACAAATGATTTATGTTTACCTAGTTATAATAAAGATTTTGGCCAAATGAGTGTTTTATATAATGGTCTAAAACTATGCTAAAAATCAAACATTAACATAAATCATTTTCGTAATTTGATGTCTTTTATAAGTTATGTTAAGTGTCTTGATTCATTTAGTAAATAATTTATATTAGTAAATTTAAATAGTACGTATTTACTTATGCTATAGTATTCCTTCTTTATTTTAACTATATTTTTAGTTTTAATATTGTATATTTTTTATATTTTAATATCAATTATCTCAACATGTTATTTTATGTAAGTAGGTATTATTGTAATTTATGAGAACCACTTGCCAGCACAAGTTTGGTCTACAGGGAATGTTGATATTTAATTTATGTGTAGTGTCTATTAAATGTATCTCCTGTTGTTTTTTTTTTTTGTGAAATATATTAATAATAACTGATATTTTCTACAAATATATTTCTGAATAAATTTGGGTTGGAGACATCGTTTTTTTTTTTCTTACGCGGGTCTCAAAATATCAAAATACGTCACTGTATTTGAATATAACTTTTATATAAATCCATTTAAATATTTAGTAAACAAAGTAAACAAATTTAGAGAACATAGACTGAGATGGTATGGGTATATCATAAGGAGAAAGGAATTTTAAGTAGAACGTAAATGTTATATTATGGAAATAAATATAGTAAAGAATAAGTGTTTTCACTTTTTAAGTGAAAACACTTAAAAAGAGGTGGTTGTGTGCGTTTCGCAACGGTATAAGGACAGAAGGTTAGGTTCCAGAAGGTTAGGGTAACTGGAAGTTTAAGACTAGAGTGATCGACGTCAAATATTTGACAATTTGGGATGAAGGCGATAGAAAAGGAAAGTTTGAGGGATGGGTTGTTTTATAAATGAACATTCGTGGTTACAAATCTGTGCAAATAATATAACAATCACTGATATAGGTTTTGGGTCAAATTTCTATTAAGTGATTCCCAGCGTAATAGAGTTATTAAGATGCTGCGAGCAAAAATGTTCTGGTTATAATGCACAATAAGTGTTTGTATAAAGGTACAATAATTAATATATCTCCTAGGGGGTTGAGAGTTTCTTGATATATATAAAAGAGCCACCGACACCACCAATTTAGACAAGTTTTGAGAGCATAGTTATAAGTATCTTCACGTAAAACTATTTTACAAAATATTATATTTGTACAAATATTGTATAATTATTTTAAAGTTTAAATAAAATAACTTATATTGTTTTGACTAATGTTTAACTTAACTACGAGTAATACAAATTGAAACAAAAACTCAACAAAAATGCGTGTCGTTATCTTCAGTTGAAAAAAATACATATAATTTATAATAATAATAAAATAACTGACATAACTCTTTAATTTTAATAGGTATTTATATAAATAGTAAATATGTATTTATAGTTACGAATTACAAAGATAAAATAGCGATTTTATTTCAAATTATGGATAAATGTTAAAATATCAATAAAAAAAAAAAAAAAAAATCGAAATTTTGAACTTTTAATAACATATAGGTCGACAATCAATGAGAATCACTTACATATTGATTGTAATGGCCATTGTGGACTTTGACTCGGATGATATTATAATATATCACCATAGTCGCGTGTATGATATAGTAATGGTGCATCTTCTTATGCTTATGAAATTATCATTGTGTCGTCTAATACTAAAATTAGCTATTAATTATACATTACAATTACATATATATTTTTTTCCTGGTAATAGGTACATGGCAGTGGACAAATTATTAGATCATAAAATATTTTTTTTTTACTTTTTATATAAAATCTTTTTTTTTCACATTTTCTTAACAGTTGAACTTCTACAGTTTGGATTTCCACCAAGTAAGTAGTTTTTTAGTTAGGGCTATATTATTATAATATACAAATACATTAATAATGAATACACTTATTGGGTTTTAACCTATTTTTTTATATTTAGTGAGAGATGGAATAAACAATTACCTTTATGCGTGGGGAAAATACATACGTAAGTATATGTGATTAACTTCATAATTTAAAAACTCATGAATTTATCAACTTTTAAAGTATACGAATACTTAAATATTGGGTAAAGTTTGAACGTTCCTAAAAAAACGTGTACATATGTACCTACATGTATTTGATTATCATCATCATAATGACCTCATTACTATGTTTTAAGTAAGAACAAAATATATTTGAGATTAAAACTTACTCAACCCATATAAAAAATATCTTATTGCTGGAATAAAAATGATAGATTTTTATTATGTTTTAAATATTCACCAATGGCTTTCAGAGTTTTAATAAAAATCTAATAGTATAAACTATATTTGAAATTTATAAAAATTTATATTAATTAGACAAAACATAGTGTTGAATAAGATCATAATTTTATTTATGTACATTTTATTATGTTTTATTAGGAACTAATATGCTGAATGAATTAAATGGTAAATATTTTGTTTAGGAAATATGTTTTATTGTAAAAATAACTCTATTTGAAGGAATACAAACTTGATTAAAATATCGATTAAATTTATTTCTTATATTTTCACTCGCTACGCTCCAAATCTAAAATAAGAACATAGGTGAGCTGTAGAACTCCATAATTAGTGTACAATTTTCACCAGCTGACTTATTGTTGTAATCTTATAAATATTTTAGATTCCGAGTGTAACGAAGAATGTATTGGTTTTAAAAGCTGATTATTTTTTTTTTTTACTGAGTACACAAATTCTACAAGAAATATTGTTCTGAAGTATTAATTATATAGCATCTTTTCTGAACGGAAAATTTTCTGGAATGGAAATTTGAGGAGGTAATTTTTTGATTTTCCCAATAAATAGGAAAACCGGGAAAAACGAAGAAAACGGGAAATGTGAGAAATGTAAGTGTTAGTAAGAAAATATTACGGCTTTTTTCGCCTGTGAACAACCTACTCTACCAGCAATTTTACTCTGATTTACAATAATCTCTTCAATGTAATTTGTATAAAAGGAAATCCGACTGGGTTGGTACTTTAAAAATGTCTTTTTTTGGATTTTCCCACGAATTTTTCTAATTTTTCTAAAAATAAATGGGAAAAACCGCGAAAAAACGGAGGAAAACGGAAAAATAGCTATAATATTAAACAAATAGTATTAAAGAAAATATATAATGCATAATATGTAATTATTTTACCATATTATGAAATACATATTTTTGACAAAGCAACACTATTAACTGAACTCCGCTAAGAATCGTTTTTTGTTAGCAATGGTTAATTGTTGCGTACAGATATATTTTATATTTCCCCTCTACCTCTCAATTTTGTAGATATGGAGCGTTGCGAGGGATCTATTCGTTTTTTTATGATGTGAGAGTATTTTTTTTTTCTGTCTGCAAACAATTTTTGTATCAGAAAATTAGCTCTAAAGTAAAGACTATCATCTTCTGAAAGGAAATTTTATCTATTTGGTGTAAAAGAAATATTTTTTTAGTTTTCCAAGAAGTTTTCGAAATAATTTGGAAAAGTCGAAAGAAAATTTTTGGTAAAACGGAAAATTTAACGGCACCGCGGCATAACCTATTTCATTATGTTTTACCTTATGTTTTCTACTAAAATTATTACTCCAATTGAAAAATAATAAAAAGATCGCTTTTATTTCTTTGAGCACATAGTCACTGATAGAGAAAGTCGTTTTCGGTATCTAAAGTATTTTTTGTAATAATTGGGAGAACCAAAAAAGACGAAATATACGTATTTTTTTTTCAAATTACGGCACAACGATTACTTTATTTAAATTTTATACAGTTTATGTTTTCTACAAATATTATTGCTTCAATAGAAAAACTATAGTAGATTAGCTTGTAGAATTTTTAATCTATTTGGTAACCAAGAAAGTTGTTTTTCTGATTTTTTGTTAGTTTTTTAATAATTGAGCAAAATTAAAAAATACGTAAAAAGGTTGGAACAATTTAGGAAAATAACGCTTTTATTATTTTTATTTTGTTTTTTTAATGTAATTCAGTTTAAAATAATCGTATAAAAATTAAAATGTTAAAAGATAAAATTTATTTACTTTGTTTAGACTTGGTAAAACTTTCAGAAAATTCCAGCAATTTTTAAGCTGTTATAGACGTATTTATTATGCGAGTTTTTGACGAATCTTGACGAAAATCTAAAAGCCTTTCAAAACATGTATAACCGAACTTAGTAGAAAAATTGATTCTAAGTATAGACAGGTAACTTTCTCTAGTTGGTGCATTGGGGAGGTTATTTTTTGAATTTTCAAGGGTTTTTTGTAAAATTTGAAAAAACTGAAAGAAAATTATAGGTAAAACGACCTTGTATTTTCATTGTGTTATACTAAAGTTTCCTACCAGAAATATAGGTCGTAATTTGAAAATCAAAAGTAGCTAGTGGTTTTATTCCCAAAAATAAGGGTGACAAAAAAATAACATAAACCAAAAATTTTAGAGTAGCTTGTTTCTTAAATGTTCTAGAAAACTAATTCCGGAAAATGTTAATACTTTCCAAGATAATGAGTTTACCCAATTAAATGTTTTAGTTTTTTTTTTTTAAATAGTTGGAAAAAAATAGGGAAAGTTACTAAACTGTTACGAAAATATTATAAAGTTATATTATTATTATTATTTTCGTGATAATGATTCAAGTTTTAAAATTTAAGTATCTAACTAAAGTAAAGTACATTGCATTACCTTATATAATAATGAATCTTGATAAACAATTTGTTAAAATATGATATAACTTTCAATCAATAAACCATACCTGTTATTTATTATGGTAAGTAAACATATAAATTATATTTTTGTTTAGAGAACTCACGACTTTACGTGAAATACATCGACGATCAAATTAAATCAAGTATATTTTATTCATAATGTTTATTTATTTTTATTTTTTTGTTTATAGCCTAACAATTTTCTAACATAGGAGTGTATTGACTGCCTATAAAAGTTCATCACCCACTGTGTGACTTACCCATTCTTCTATTATCTATACCTATGAATATGTAACAAAGTGTTCATCAACATAAATTTTAACACAATTATACTTTATCCAAAATAAGAATAGTAGTCGGCAGTCGAGTTTTTTGCATAGGCGTAACTTTCACTACGCGCAAGGAGCGTTGGCTCTGCCGTCCCGGAGAGCAGTATTAGTCAAGAAACAACAGCCGACCAGCACAAATAACTTAAAATGCCGTACGTTGTCGCCGTCGTCGGCAGAGCAATAGGTGGTTGACCAAGCGGAAAGTAGAATGGACGTGGTTCTGACCGTCGTCGCTGACTACTATTCTTATTTTGAATAGAGTATAGTTAAATATAAAATAGCGTCTTTTATTTTTTAAGATCACACATATCAATAGTTGGTACAAATTCAGTGATAATAGTAGTTATTGGTTTACAAGATGAGTTCTGTGGTGACTCGTGCTAAGATGCGACGGTGCGAACTCACTCCTTACGTAATTTTTAAAATAAAATGAAATTTGCATCTATACTTGTCATAGTAAATAGTAATCATTATAGTTTATATTTCTTTCAGAATAATTTAAATAATTCAAAATTGTATTACAAAATGTCATCTTAATCTGGCAAATTGAATGCGATAGGAATAATCTAACGTATCTAAACGTATTGCACTAGATAATAATATAATCGAAATAAATATTGAAACAATAACATTGTTGGTAGGTAATACCTACTTACCTGTTACCATTGACATTATAATAATTATGTAAATCAAAATAATATGATAATTTATGACTTGAATATTATTGCTTGAAAAAAAATATATTTTTTTTGTAACTTACTATACCTAGTTAATTTTACTTTCCACCTTAACTTTAAACTTATCGAGTTAAATTTATTCTTTGTTAACTTTTAACTGAAGAAAATTTAAATGAATTAAATTAACTTGCAAAAATTAATTATTTTCATTAACTAGTCCACCTTTAGTAATTTATAACTTATAAGTTACGTTAAGTTACTTAAAAAATAAATTTGGTGAAATAAAACGGCAAAAAAATTAATTCGGCAAAATGGTACGGCGGCGAAATGGGAGTTAACTGTTACTGATTTGCCCAAATAAGGTTGGTCACAACTAAGTTTGTCTGGAAAAAGCCTGAAATATGACGTTTCACCAAAATATCGTGGTCATATCGTGTTTTGCTTGTGTATTTCTGATATTTGCCAGATTTCGACTTTTGCCCATTATATTTATATATAATGTAATATAATTCCACTATTATATGTATGAAATCACATATTTAGTATCAACTTACGATAGGTAGAGTACTGCCCCAATAAAGACATTTTATCACACTACCACTTTCGCGTAACTCTTGATCGTGACATAAAAATAACTTAAACTAAATAATTTAATAACTGTGCATATGTGTGTCTGGCTAATAGATAATAATAATAATATTGTGTAAAGACGGAAGTGTTTCTGGTTTAAACAAAATACTTTCGAATTATCTAGTAAACTATTTCAAATATAAAACTAAAAATATCTTCTAAAATATATATAATATAGGTACCCTTTAGTTTAATTGTATTTTAATGAATTCATAATATTTTAATTATAATAATAAAAATGAAAATTGCTTTTGCAGTTAAGCTGAAAGGTATAACGAAGTGGTGTAAAGACGGTTCGTACCTATTATTAATTACACATATATTTCATCAGTTGGTTTAAAACGATAAAATTATTGAGAATTGTTTTCTTTTACATTGTTTTTATTTTGAATAATTATATAATTGTGTACATAAAAAAAATAATTAATTTATATTACATTACAGAGTCTGAATGTAAGTACATTGCCTATGTATATATTATGTTTCGTAAATTTAATAGGATTTTACCATAGATTATAAAATATTATATATTCATACATTTAAGAGAAACAAAAAAATACAAGTTCGTTAAAAATGGTTTGGATTATTTGTATGCACTACTTACTTTTTTATAATAGCCCTATTCTATCGTACCCATTTTGATGCAAACATTTTTAGTTTTATAGTACCTACTGATGTAGTAAATTATATGAGTAGGAAGATGCTATCTTATTATATTAATTATGATTTAATATGCAATATTATGTTATGTATTGACCCCAAATTGCATATAATTTCTTCAATCTCTTAAGCGAAGGAAAAATCAGCACCTCTATTACCCGGTACTAAGGTATCACAAAAGTTCTTGATAGTGAAAAGTTTTTAGGTGACGATTCCAGCAAGGAGAGAGCAACCCATCGGGCTTTCCAACATTAATGATGGTAACCATCATCATCAATGATGATGTGCATGCTAACCACCTCAGTAGGTCAAAGGGTAAAAAAAAAATGTATTTTGCAAGGAAAATCGTTTTTAATAATTATAATTGTATGGTGTGCAAATCAAAACATTTAAAACAGTATCTAGGACAGTTTTTTCTATTGGAAAAATCTGCAAAAAAAAAAAAACTTTGAGACACGAATTCGACAAAGGATACCTTTAGATAGATAACAGGTGTGCATCAACACTAAACTATGGCAAAAAATATAACCCTTGTGAACTTGATAGTGTAACATAAGCAAACATAGATCCAATCAATCCAACACATTTGTTGGTGGATTATTGAAATTCTGAAAGTTGTCCAACAGTATCCAACAAATGGCGAAGAACATGTTTGGCACAAAAATCATGTCCCAACAAACAGTTGCACTGCTGGCGTGAATTTGACAGCGTAAAATTGGAAATTGGCCTCCCGCTGAAAATAATGTTCAACAAATTCTGAAATCAGTCCAAAAATGTCCAACAACCCATTGATTAATTGGTTTGATGTTTGCCAATGTTACGGCTGCCAAGTTCATAAGGGTACAAATATATATATTGGAAAATGCAATATTAAGTTATTTAACATACCACATATATATACTGATTTTAAAGTGCTATAACTCATAAAGTTCAACCACCCAATTTATATTGCATCATCATTCTTAACATAAATAAGTACATTATTTTAGTAAAAAAATGTTGACCCCCTCCTCGTCAACCCGTCCTATGTTCAAACCTATTGTTAAATGACTGGTGGCGAAATGCCCTGGTCCCCTTATAAAATATAATGACCACCGTAGTCGCGAAAATAATAATAATTATCAAAACTCATCCCTACCAACCGTTGTACAACGTTCTCATTTTCCTACAATATTTTTTCCGCTATGCGTTTGATGAAAATAAAAAAATAATGACCTTACAACTATGATGCAAGCCTGGAAGACGCGCCAACATCAATTCATCATTATATGACGACCGTAATATTTCATTTCTTTATACAACTATTATTTCCCTCACATATGTATCTACATCTTCTATTACTCTACATATTTATACATTTAATACATTTTCCCCAAGTTTTTTAGGTGTGTTAGACAAAAGTTATCTATTTTAAATAACTAGCAAGTGGTTCCTTCAAGATACTTTGACTCATTTTTTTAGTTCCCAACCTATTTATAATAACATTTGAATAATTATTTATCTAGAAAATTGCATTAACTTAAATTAAACTCAAATTGTTTATAATTTCAGCTATTCCTGGTGTTCCTGGTAAGAATACATTTTATTTTAATACAATAGAATATTTTTATACACCCATATTGACGTACCTACGGTCACGGGCAGATAGGGCACAGTTATGTTTACGAAAACCGTCGGTGGTAGTTGTGGGAACATTTTTTAAGGGTGGAAATTTGTAAATATCGTTCGACCGGTTACGATTACATATTTATGTGACGTCATATGTTAATATTGGAGCAACTTTGTGACTAAGTGACGGTAATGATGGATATGAATGAGGTTTGATCGTGGTCTACGGGATCATCGTACATTGATACGACACAGTACAACCCGTATTCTGAAAAGTCACAATATATTTTCTATAAATGAGAAGGAATCTTCTGTTTTATTTTAATGGTGTAACTAATGCATATTAATGAACTTTTTAACAATAGGAAGACTAGTGAACTTTTTCGTGTTTATAATAAAAAGATCACTGGACTGTCAATAACTATTGAATTTAGAATTATACTCGTATACAGTGATTTTCAGTTTGGTCCAACAGTTTTTCAGAATATTGGATTCTGTAACCATATGTTAGTGTTGGCATTATGTATATTTTAACACGTATAGTTTCATTTTTTTAAAGAAAGACTGCGGATTGTTGAGAAGAGGCTATGATTGGTATCATTTGTTATGTTCATTTTAATATATTAAATTATATTGGTAATAGGTATAAATTGAGAAGTGTCTATCCAATGTTGTTTTGATTTATTATGATCTTCTAATTTTTTAATCATAATTTAAAGAAAATAATACTGTCGTCCTTTCATAATAATGTAAAACGTAATACCTTAAGTATGAAGAATACTGAAAAAACTATTCAGTTTTTCACTCTATTAAAGATGTTGGAGACAGTGTGGTTTTAGTATAAAAACATTTCTTACAGGAAACACTCTCACGCTCGGTAGTATTGTCGGATTTGGTTAAAATTTTTTTTATTTAAAAGAAAATAATATTTCGCTGGTCGGATCAAATCTCGATTTTCAAAATTATAATTTAAGAAGATAAAATATGCATTTTAATAATACATAATATTTGTTATTTGTTTAACACTATTTAAAGTAAAATGAAGATTTGGACTTTGATCTGATCTGCAATAAGTTCTCATATTTTAGAAAAAAAAATTGTCAAAATCCGATGTATAAACGAGGCGTGAGAGTTTGGCCTGTAAAATAATGTTTGTTCGTTTAAATCAGTGGTTTTCAAACTAGGTGCCGCGGCACACTGGTTAGGTTAAGTTAACCTAACCGTGCCGTGGTCTTTTGAAATTTGTTTTCCCTAAATTGTGACGAAATGCCGGTTTCGGTGATCCGCTTGTTAAATATGAAATCGTAACTCTTTTGATTATAACTCGTTTCAGTATGACTCATCAATTTTGTTATTAGTTCTAATTGTATCCAAAAAAAATTAAACAATGCCAAAAAAAAAATTCACAGTGTGCCGTGAAAATATGAAAATCAACGTGTGCTGTGGTTAAAATAAGTTTGAAAACCATAAGTCTAAATATTGCTTCGATAATGATTGAAGTCGATTCATTACCTTGTGCGTGCGTGTGCGTAATTATCCTTATCTGCATGTGTGTTTGTGTCACCACTCACCAACCACAATCAATATTGCATTTGCGTATTCCAATTTACAATAAAGTTAAAAATTACTTATTTTTGATGATGCGGCGTTATAGGTAGTACCTATATTTTTATAAATTACAGATATTATAATAACTATCCATAATCATGTAATTATAATAAGGTATGAAAATAATATGAGAAGAAAAATAAAATATATACTAGTGCCTATATAATAATAATACATGACTAATTACAATAATAATAATGAATTATTAATAGTTCAAATAATTTCCATTTATTTTAAAATTTTAGGATCTACAATTTCTTGTAATAAATGACAAATATTATATAATTTGACCAAATTGTATGTTTCCATTTTATCCTTCCAGAAGTCGTCGTCACGCATTATTATTTCTACAAACATATCTAAAAACAAAAACTGTATATATTTAAATAGGAACTTTGAATTAAAAAAAAATAATGTATGTAGTTTGTATTGTACTATATGTACCCACAAATAACAAAAACCTTAGTTTTTAATGTGTTCGTCAAATTATAAGAACATTTGGTTATAATATATTATTGTTTATTACCTTTTGGAGTCCAAACTATAAAATAACACGAGCATTTTATTAGCTACTTTTAATTTATTCTGAATCTGATAGTAATAGTTATATACTACGAGATAGTAATAACTGCAGATCACCATTGCTATTGATGTTTAAAAATGTAATTTGTTTAGTCATAACTCCCTAGAGAGATGTCATATCTTTACTGTTATGGGGACATTTTATTTCAATCATTTCATTTTCTCCCACCAATCCATCTGAGAGAACTAGCTAAAAAATTAAATTGCTCGTCAACAATTAATAAACTAATTTGTAAAACTTTAGCATTGAATAAAGATTCAAATGTTTCAATGTTTTCATTATATTTCATATCTGTTGACAAGCAGACAGACAGATATATGTGCTAAAATCCATTTTTATATACATATATATATATATAATATAGTATATTATATTATATATATATATATATATAATTATATAGATGTATATTAATATTACATGTGGATAAACTATGTAATATTCTTACGTTATTGGAGTCCTCGATGTAAAATCTTTGGCGTACAATATATAATATTTGACAGTATCAGTCCGAGGATTAATTTTTTTGAGTTTACATACTCTACCAAAATTTGCAGCAGTCAACCGATGTTATATTTTAGTATGCCAAGTATCACATAGAAATGACATGCTTAACATGGTTGTGGTAGTGGCCGATGCTACCTGGGGGGGATGCGCACCGCCGAACGAAAACTGGTCACGAAAGCGGTATGTTCTCTTTTAAAACAGGGTATCGTTATTGGACAGATCATAAATTAAGCTATCTGAATAAAAAGATACAAACATTTTTGGCCACACAAATATCTCGCCACAAACCACAGTTCTCTATTTCAGACGCAAAATTTATACTATCAGAGTCAGCTTTATAAAAATATCTAAAATTATAATAATTATTTTTGATAAAATAAAAAGATCCTTTAAGGTTATCTCTGCTTGCACACAAACTAAATAATACTTGTTTCTGATTCTTAAAAAAAGAAATTTTAGGTTCTGAGTAGAGCAAGAAATGTATTGGTTTTACAAAAATATATATTTTTTTTTACCTGTGAACAACTCTCCTACTAATGTATTAGTAAAATATTACGGTCTTTTTTAATTGTGGACAATTTTTTTACCATCAATTTCACTTTGATTTACAATGATAGCACTTTTTCTAAAAGGAAATCTGACTAGGGAGGTCTTTTTAAGAGGTCGTTTTTTGAATTTTCTTAGAAGTTTTCCTAACAAATGGAAAAAATCTGAAAAACGGGAAAATATACGTAGGTATTATTTAAAAAAAGATGTCCTAGGATAATGGTGGCAGTTGTAGACACTATTATAGGTGAGAAGTTGGGAGTGTAGTAGATGAAAACTTTAATGTATATCAGTAAACAACTATTAACCATTCCTAACGAAAAAACGATTCTGAGAGGAATTCAGTTGATAGTGTTGCCTTGTCAACACTATGAATATATCATATTATGGTAAAATAATTACAAGTGCATTAAATATTTCCTTTAATAATATTTGTTTAATATTGTACCTATTTTCCCGTTTTTCATACGTTTTTCCCAGTTTTTCTATTTATTGGGAACTCCTGGGAAAATAAAAAAAAAGCCATCCTGTACCTTTTCAGACTGATTTCCTTTCAGAAAAAATCCTATCGTTGGAGAAAAATTGCTGGTAAATAATTGTCCAAAAAAAAATTTCAAACACTTCAAGTATCTACAAATAGTTTTCATTGAGTTACAAGAAAAAAATCAAAATTAAAAATAATAAAAGCGTTATTTTCGTAAATTTTCAATTTTTTTCGGTTTTGCTCTATTTTCAAAAAAATACTTGGTAAATCAAAAAATGACATTCTGAATCATGAACTAAATTAAAGATCCTACAAAAAGCGAATTTTATTGTTTGTCTATTGGAGTAATATTGCTGGTAGAAAAAATAAGCCGTACCAATTTAAAATAAAAGAATTCTTACGCCGTAAATTTACTAGTTATCATTTTTTGTTTTTATCCGGATTTTCTCCAAAATTAAGAAAACTACTTGGAAAATCAAAGTAACTTTTGTCAGATACAAACTATAATAGCCATCTGTTGCATATTATTATCTAGAGTTTAATCATCTATAATATACTTATTTTGTAAAAATTAAATTGCAAAAACTAGATATATTCTATCATAGTTTTCAACTAGTAGCTAATAAAAAAAAATAAAAAAAAAATAGATAATTTCTTGAAAAGCAATAGTAATTATGAATGTAATAGTGTAATAGTTTTTAGATTTGGAGCATTGCGAGGGATCTATTGGTTTTACTATATGTGTGTGTGTATGGTTTTCTATCTGTAAACAACTTTTTGGAAAGGAATCTTGCTTCAATGTATAAAGTTTAGCATTTTTTCTGATCCGACATATCAATTTTTTTTTTTATTTGAAAGAAGAGAACTTTTCGCATGTCGGATAGAAGCCTAATTTTTTATTTAACTTTAAATAGAACTAGAAAAATACATTTAAAAAATACCAAATATTGGTATTATTCAAATGTATATTTTGGTTTCATTAATTAAAATTATAAAAATCGGGTTCATAATCCAATATATGAAATGTCCTATTTTTAAATAATAAAAAAAATTAACGAAATCCAACTATTCCATAGATCATAGGAGGTAAAAGTTTTTCCTGTAAGACATGTTTTTGTATTAAAAACGCACCGTCTCCAAGACCCTTAAGTGTAATTACTCCAGTTTATAGTTAACGCTATTACTGATGCACAAGTCAATATTAGGTACTTTTACCTTTCGTCATATCATCTTCAAGTATATTGCATGCACTTGTCTAAAAGCTATGTCATCCCAAGCAATTATGGATTTATTTCCGTAATTTTGCGAGTCTCCGTCTCGTTCATTTTGCCATGCAATTTTATTAATATGTGTTTTTCATAGAAAAACTCATAGATTTTTACAGATTTCCCCCCTGATTTCAATTTATTTGAAACATCATTTAAAATTTTCCTGTGTGGTACTTATTGCAAATTCGAACTAAATGTTTAGACAAATTTTATAAAATCATGGTTTTTAACCCGTATGGTTTCTTTATTGATAATTTAAACTAAGTATATGCGTTTAATTGTTCAATAAACATAATAAGTTTGGTGGAGGTCTATACATTATTTTATAATTAATGGTTAAATAATTCATGGTTTCTATAAATATTACTTGGTTGAAAATATAGTGCAAAATAAATAAGTGCTTAGTGTGATATTGAAATGAATGTTTTATTAAGTAAATAAACACAATTTATATAAGTATTATTAAAATAAATATTTAATTAATACTACAAATTTAAAATGTACTATAGTAATACATATAAAACTATTTTTAATTCAATTCATATTTGATTAATAAAGGATTTGAAGATGAAAGTAAGACAACAATTTTTGATAAAATAATATATAATATATTATGTTATAACAAAATAGCATACCTACCGTCCTATTTGATATACATCAAAGAAAACAAATTAGTATTAACAGTGGCGTGTGTAAGGGAGGGAGGTTAGGAAGTTTAATTCCCCTCCGTTTACTTAAAAATATAAACAAATATTTAAGTAATCTAATATTGAAATGCTTATATTTCGGTCAAGTTACGAAGAAAAGCTTAGTATTGATTAGAAATTTGATTTTTTTTAGGATCCGGTTTTTAAATTACCAATTACCATAGTCGAGTCGGATAAAGAGCAAGATTTTACGATTCATTCACGATTCTTATTCACTACATCCCCTCCCATCGATAATTCCTAGGCACGCCACTGAGTATTAATACAAAGTAGTTAGAAATAATTAGTTTGCTGGTTAACTACATTATAATATACCTACATAATTACTAGGTTAATATTGATAATATAAAATGTTATAATAATATAGCCATTTTTATTTTCTTAAACTAAATGATACGGCATCGGAGTGTATAATAATAAAAATACTAAATTGCATGTACACTATAGTTTATTGAATCAAATGCGTCCTATAGTTTTTTGCGTTAATGTGGCCATAATATAATAATTTAGATATAATCACTTAATAAATGATACGCATATACACCTTTTCCGCCACCCATCACCTCATAGACCAATATGGTGCTGGTCTTTCACCGTTTCTTATTGGTTTACGTATTCCATATATTGTGAATTAAATCGTGATACCAAATAATACTTTACCTAATATCATAATTCAAAAAAACCGCCAAAAATTATAATCCGATCAGAGATAGCGAAAGACCAGCATCATATTTGCGCAGTTTAAGACAGAATTAGGCCTATTGAAATCATACCTACAAAAAAAAAAAGCACGCGTCACTTAAACATGCGGGTTATCACAGCACGCCGTGCGGCAATTTCTCGTCGATGGTTGTTGAACTGTTTCCGGCTAAATTTTAAAATTATCGTGGTAACTCGTAAATTTACATTGAACAATGTACTCGTATTCATGTACTTATTTGGTGAAATACACGATTGAAAACAATACAATAGGTAAGCGATATTGCAGGAGATGGTCCGATAAGCGTACGGAACAAATGTCAAGAACCACAGGTTTATGGAGAAATCGTTACATACGCGCTGTGGTCTCCACCATGTTTTCGTAACGCGTATTGTATAGTTTATTATATCATGATCATAAATGCATAACAATATTATTGGCAACCATTGAATTGGCTCCCGATATTAGGTAAGTACCTCATCGACCATTAAATTGGCTCTTAAGAAACTTAATATTGAATTGGCTCCCAATAATATTTTCAACAAGTGATTTCAAAATATAAATATAAACTAGTAGGTATGCGAAATTAATATTTTTAGCAACACAGTTGCGAAGTACTGCTGGTAATTATCTAAAGGTTGTTTCACACTATACAGAACGTCAGTGTTACGTCACGGCCCGGCGAAATAATCTTATATGTGTTTTATATGACAATGTTTACATACACCGTTTACGTCATGGATCGTCAACATCACGGAACGGCAACATTTATCGAAAACTATATTTTGACGGGACGGAGCAAGTCCGTTATTATCTGTTCGGATAGTATGAATGTGTTAGCGGAACGTTTCAGTCAATATCATATAAATACTAAATTTAATATATATTTATTTAAATCATCGTATTTTCATTATTTTACTATAGATGATGACATAATAGTAGAGAAAGCTTTTATTTTTTTAAGTTTTAACGTCATTATGATAAACTCTACAATATGGTTCAGACGTTTATGCACTTAAAATAACTGTAATATGTATGGATTTATGCACTAAAAAATTATAGAACATGCAATCATATTATGCACTAAAAATCATAAAATATAAATTTTAGTTAACAAAAATACAAAAATATGCAAAAAAAACTTATTTTACCTCAAGTATTTAATTTTTTTTTTTTGTAATTTTTTTAGTAGTTATTTTTATTTATTATTTTTTTTAATATTACATATACGTTTACAATAAAAGCGTTACAATGTAATAGAATAGTGTTTTTGATTTATTCAAATCGTATGCTTTTTTGCATAGGTGCGACTAAACCACCAACTTTGAGGGTGATAAAATCATAGACACACGACAGGCCCATGAGGGCAATGCCCTCACTATCCTCTTTACATGACACTCATAATAAGCATACAATATATTTAATTTTCAATTTTTTATGTATAAAAATGTTGTATAACCTTTTTAACTTTATTTTTTATTATACACATGCATTGTCTGTAGGCGGATAATCTATATTTGCTCTGTTTATTAATTATGAAATACACGGATAAAATATTTAGCTTATACTATAAAAATACATATTGGGTATTTTTGGGGGTGCTTAAGATCCCCTAGCACCCCAATGTTTTTTTGCTTTATATTTCGTTATTCATTTAAATTGTTTTTTAAAAAAGTTCGAAAATGTATTGAATTATACATTTATATTCTTAAAATCCCAAAATATGCATTTAAAATACAAAACCATAAAATATTCAAAATAAAAATAGTATCGTTTGATTCAGTAGAACACGAATCAAATTTGTATCAACAATAACCTAATAATTATGAAAAAAGACATTCAACGTTTACCCTCTATATTGCTATATGTCTGAATGTTGATAATGTATTAGATATACTTAGATATTAGATGTAGTAGATATAAATATTGATCTGATGAAATTAATATTATAAAAATGTGAGGATAAATATTCTCTTTTCAAATTGTTGATAAAGTATTTTTAACAATCAATAGCATATTGAAAGTAATGTACCTCTGGTACTTGTTGATTTAACTGATAACAAATTATATTTTAATATCTTATATACACTACGTCACTGCATACATGCTTATTTATTTTGTATAACAAATAAATTAAATAAATTGTATTTTTAAAATTTCAGTAATATTCGGTAAGACAACCTACTTCTTATCATAATTATAAAATTTAAACAATAGTTTGAACATGTTTAATGAAGAATAAATAAGTTACACATAGTTTGATAAATAACTAAAATGCAATATGATTGCATAGAAAATAAATATTCTAAAATTTATATTAGTACAAGAGAATTAAGTACGTACACCGACCCTAGTTATCTAATCTTAAAACGTTTTAATTTTTTTCCCTCTGTTTTAAATTTTTGTACACAAGTTTCATAACAGTTATGAGTACTAAACACACTAATCGAAATGAAAATTTAAACGCATTATGAAATAAACAATTTGTTTGTATTTTCTTGATATTTTTAAAAATTTGTTTTGACTTACTACGTCCATTATAACCGAAATACTGAACGAGAACTGTAGAAACGTTCAGCCCTCAAATATATGCCACCGTTGAAAAATAGATCTCGTTACAAGTTGAAATATTATAGAACCAAAACAATGGAAGGGAGACTTATTCTAAACAATACAAAATTTGATTCAATACAATAGCATATAATAATGATATATGTGGTATGTACCTACATAGAGGTATAGAATATTTATCTAAATTAATAATTTGTAAATAAAACTTAACTGTTACTTAAAACTCAATATTTTCTTTTAGATAGTATACTTTGATAGTGAAAAATATAGTAAAATAATTGACGAGGGCAAACAAAATAGTTTTTTCATTTCATAATTTATATGATTTAATGTGAAATTACGATTTTTACATAAAAAAAAAATGAAATGTATTAATTTATTAATTACATTATTAAAAATGAAGCATTTTAGCACTGTTATTGTATCCTCTAAAATATTATGATATATATTCCCTACCATATTCTAGAGATTATAAGACTTAAAGGGCTTAAATGCACCATTATTATTCTGCTCTTTTTCAGTATGTAGAAACCGTAATTACTCTATTAACCACATCAATTTTAAAATTAAAAATTAATTAGCTCTTGTTAATTGTTTTACAATACTCTACACTACTAAAAAGAAAACTTTAGTATCAAGGGACAGTTTAGGTTACAATAATAATTACACAAAATATTATTTAGATAAATATTCTACACCTATACATTTCATTATCAAAGATACTAATGTATCGAAAGCACATAATATGTTGTTTAAAATAATTCTCTCTTCCATTGTCTTGTGTATTTTTCTACACTGGCTTTAACATAGTTACATGTAAAAATGAGTGTACCTGATGTAGTTCATTACACGTGTAATTGAAACTATAAGTTTAATGGCCATAAGAATACCAAATAAGTTATGAAATATTTACTAATATTTATTATTTTTAATTTCATTCCCCTTTTTCGAATTTTAGAGGAGAAAGGTAATTCTTAAATTTAATTATGTATATTAATAATTTATATTCAATTTTATATGGAAAGATCAATTCTCGATAAGAGAGTAATTATCTTGGAAAGTATTATCTTTTTCAGGAATTTATTTTATAAAAAATTTAAGAAACTTTACATTATTATTATTTTCATCATATTTTATAAAAATTCAACAAAATGGGCATTTGTCATTTTTTGATCAAAGTTTGATTTCTGGTAAAAAACATTATTCGTAAAGATTTAAAATTATGAAATCATTCGCTGCACATCCCTACTAGTTAGCACCGGTTACAACCATAGACATGTTAAGAAACATGTTATGAAATCTGTTAATTTTCGTGAGTGCTACCTGGTGAGGATGCGCGCCGCCAAATAAAAAATGATCGCGAAAACGGTATGTTCTCTTTTGAAACAGAGTATAGTTAAAATTATCTATATAAGTATTATTATTATTAACTGAGGATCATAAGTGACGATGAAAGCCCATTGTTGCATTCCGCTACTAACCCTATTGTCTAATATCAGTCGCACCGTTGAATGTGTTTGTGTGTGTGTAACTGCATACTCTACGTTTTATATTTATTTAATTTTGTCGTAAATAATATTTTAAGTTAAGGAAGGCTAGGTAAAATATTTAAATAAATAAAAAGAGATATTAAATTTTTAAAGAACATCGATTTACATCAAATTTCTCATCTAATTGATCATATATTAGTGACTATAATTTATTATAATATGTAAAATTGTTTATTATATTAGATAATTAATTTATTGATTTATATTTCAGACTGCATAAGTAAGTTAACATTATAAACATTATTTCAATATCATATAAATTATTATATTTTTAACTACGATAATACATTACAATTTTAGAATAAAAGTTATTAAACTTGTAAACTCTAAAAGTATCAAAAGCACTTGTACTTTTATTTTTAAAATATTTATTGAAGTTTTGGTTATAAATATAGGGTCCAGGACAAATGGACGCGAGAGTCATTTGTAAACAACATATATGACATATTATGATAAAATAATTAAATAGGCATTATATAATTTCTTTAATAATATTTGTTTAATATACTGATTTTCCGGTTTTTCTTACGTTTTTCCCGGTTTTTCTCATTTTATAAGAAAATTATTGGGAAAATGACCCATTTATAGTACCTCCCCACACTGATTTTCTTTCGGAAAGGTGCTACATTTAAAAATCGGAGCAAGATTTATAATAGAAAAATTGCGCACAGATAAAAAAAAAAAAAATCTATGTAAAACCATTCACTCCACTCAGAATCTAAAATAATACACATGTAAAAATATGAATAAAGTTAGCATGTGGGTGCAGCAACTATTGTAGGTGGGAAGTTAAGAAGTTAGGATATAGAAGGGAATTTAATATATATCTGTAAGCAACGATAACTCATTGCTAACGAAAAAACGATACTCAACGCAATGTCTTTTTTTATATTTTTGCAGCGTTTCGGGACAAAAAATCAGAATGTTATTACATCGTGTTAATGTATTAAAAAATACGTACCTAGTATTATCAATTTGGTGGGTTTGCGGGATAAGCGTACGTGTGGTAAAGATATTATGGTTTACCACTAAAGAGGTTGTATGGTTGCATGTCTCAGAAAGTTTCATTTTTGACCAAAATCAACACTTAAAAACGCTATAGAAGTTATGCACCGTCAAGATCAAAACACATAGAATGCTATAACATGTCGTGCCAATCAACGTGTTAACCTAAATAATCAAGTTTTCATCATTATCTCGATTATTAATGAGAATTTCAAAAAAAAAAAAAATAACTTTTTTAAAGTACCAGTCAGAAAACATTTATTTTTAGAAAAGGTGCTAGTATAAATATATGGTACTTTATAAAGTGTCTTCATATAATTCAAGCCTGTCAAGATTTGTATTGCCTACAATTAGAAGGAAGAAAAAGCCTTTCTAAAAAATAAAAAAATATGAGTATATTGGTTTAGATTTCAGACAAAAGAATACTCAATATAGTAAAAAATTACGTTTTTGAGGGGAATTGCACAACATATCTCATTAAATATATTATAATTCTGTATATTTTTTATTTTTATGGTAGGTTTTTATACTAATTTGAATTTAATATTTATGAGTATTTTATTTTCTATCATTTGTTTTTAATACATAATATGTAATCTTATATATAAAATTATCGTGTCACAATGTTCGTTCTCATACTACTCCGAGAGGCTTGATCGATTCTCATGAAATTTTATATGCATATTCAGTAGGTCTGAGAATCGGCTACTATCTAAGTTTGTATGCTCTGCGATAAGTGGTTCCGGAGTTTTGGCCTCTTAAGTCAAAGTATACTAGCACGCACGATATTCAACAATTATTATTTTGCCATGGAGAGATAATATACACTCTATGTGGTTATTTTTTATTTTTGGTTTCCGTGGCACCCGCGTGCCAATAACAATTGAGAACGGCTGGGCCGATTTGGCTTATTTTGCTAACCTAACCTAACCTATGTATGTGTGTGATGTCTCTTATGCCTTCCTAAACCGTTCATCCGATCGCCACGAAACTGAAAAATGTATCAGATATTTTTCATTGCTTAGCAACCGTATACCTAATTTATACAAGTTTGAAAATAAAAATAAATTTAAGGGCAACAACGGTTAACTGCAGTAATAGTGACGGATATTGAAACAAGAAATCTAGGGGGGAAATCGTTTTTATTACACATTTATTTGGCACGGGCAACGCCGGGCGGAACAGCTATAAAAATTACCATTATATATTTATTATTATTATTATTGTTATTATTTTTTTTTGACATCTAAACGACAATGTTTAAATGTCGCTCGCGTCCATATGGTAGCGTCCAATTAATGTCCCTCGCGTCCAAGTAGCGGCGTCTATATGGCCACGTACATTTGTTCTAGAACAATAAATATATAATATTCAGAATGATTTTTTTTATCATAAACTAGAAATTTTTTTAGAGGATTTTAAATAAATTTGATTACTAGTCTTTTTTTTTAATTATTTTGAAATTGTTTAAGCTTTATTTCAACAATATTTTCAGTTATCAACCTTATTCTTTCTTATCTGAAATGAGCATTCAATTTGGATTATTAAATTAAAGCAACCGCATTTTTGAATCATTTCAAAGATCACAGAATATTTTTCTAGACATTTAGAATATTACACTAATATTAGATGTACCGTTTATGGTTTATAATAGTTTAAATTGTAGACCGAAGCAATACAGATGGGTTAAAAATTTAATTTCTCTTTTGAAATGATAAATAGATAGGTAACTATCCCGTTCTTAACATTAAACTGATATAAGTTATAACTTAAAAATTTAATATAATCTAATACACTTCAAAATGTCTATAAAGATATTTCCTGTTTGATAAAATAATCTTCTGTACACAATAAACATACATTAAATTGAAGTGTCTATCTGTTATGGTTGGTCTCTGTAACAGCTGAACTTATTCTAGATATACTTTTCCTGCAAATAAGGATATTTCTCAGACTAATTTTTATTCTAGTATTCTACTCTTAAAAGATAAATTCCTGAGTTTAAGTTCATTTAGTTTCTTAAAAACATTAATTTATTCATAAATTAAACAAGTTCAAATTACTGTATAGAAAGTTTAATAGCTGACAACAAACACGTCTGTCATCATTCATTACTTATATCAGTGCTTAGGTACTTTTTTGAGTACTGGGCTATAGATACTGAAAATATTAATTTTTTAAATCGTTACATTTTATAGACCAAATTAAAGCCACTGATCTTAAAAGTAAGTAATTACTTTAAAGTTTTTGAAGTCGATTATAGTTGGTAAATACCAAATATATTCTACTGTTATATTTGTATCATGAATTAAGATATATAAAGATATATTAAGGTATACAGGATCCAACCGTATTATCAGTAAATCAAAAACATTCTTAATTTTAAACAAAATACTTGGCGCAATCTTATGTAATATGTATGAATTATTAAGGTAACTATTTTAAATTAAATCGTGCTAGGATAATAGCAAAATCGCGATATCTGATAATACTGACAATAGTTATTTTAATTTTATTTTTTTTAAATTTATTTTAAAAAACGGGCCATAGCCCAAATACAGAAAAACTTCACATGCTGGCTTTATATAAAAATCACATAAGCAAATTGACAGTACTACATGATTACAATACTAATTTACAAATAAACAGAAATGACAGGTTCTCGTTGGCAATGCGCATCATCCTAGCCATTGGTTGATTACGCGAGTAGTTGATGGTGCAGTGTTTAATGGCGAAAGGATAAGATGATTGAGACCAGAGGTAAGGCGTTCTAAACAAACCTGGCTAAGTAACGGAGGACAGTTTATCATTTCCTCATTATGCTTCTCTAAGAACAGTTGGTTAGTAATTCTTTACCTAGGGATCTTTGCCAGGGATTGCAGACAAAACGCATTCAACACCAAATCATACTTATGCGACTAGTGGTCAATTTTTAGCAAATAAGCAGCAAAGCTCAAGAATTTTTACTGGACTCTCTTTATATGAACTCTATTTTCCCTGTGTGTGGACTCCAAATGACTACACCAAATTCTAGAATCGAATTAACAACAGCACAGTATAGGGCTTTTAGAAGAGTAAACAATTTAAATTGTTGCAAATTCGCTTTAAAAATCCGAGCGTTTTTAGATTTGCAGCAAGATGCTTCGATGTAGGCCTGGAAGTTTAGATTTTAATCAAATAAAATCCCAAGATCATTGACTGAATTACCCAGAATAATAAGGACGGTACTAGATAGACAGTACGAGAATACTAGAGGACTATGTTTTCTACGAAATGGGATTGAGCAGCATTTGGCAACATTAAACTGTAGTCCGATATTATTAGCCCACCCAGTCAAAGCATTCAAAACACTTTGTAATAAATTATTGCAATTAGGCAATCATTTACAGTACGTACTTTCACAAATAATTTCGATTTCGATAAGAATTCCGATTTTTTCATTAAGCAGTTTTACCTGGGAAGTTAAAGCGGCTTTTTCTTCCTTGATCAAGCTCAACTCAATAGATTTATTATCAATTACAGATGCAAAGAATTTGTGGCCAGCAACACAATAATAATCGATATAGTATACATGAGTTCAATAACAGTAATACAGAGTACGAGTAACTAAAAGATAAATGAGCTCGTAGCTCGTAGCAACGAAAATATGGCACGTCTATTGAGGCTTAAGGTTAAGACTGTATTGTAAATACAAATGGTTTTAGTTTGTTTTCATATCACTTCTATTTTAAAGCACTAGCTGTCTCGCCACACAGTAGGACCTACATACTTCAAGAAAAATACTAATGAGACGCTTTGTTTCATATCCTGTTAGTACATCTCAATTCATGATTTGTACAGACATAGTTGATAAAAACCTTTATTTAAAAAAAAATTTGCTATTATTGATTATATACTTTATTGTGACGTCAAGTATTTTGTTTATATTGGAAGTACGTTATGTGTTTTTATCTACCTACTTATATGTTATAATGATCCTAATTATTTTATACTTTTTCTAGGTGAATCGGGATTAAATAATTTTATCAAATCATATTGGTCGTATAGTAAGTTATATAAGATAAATAATAAATTTTCTTAACTTGTACTTAGACATGGATAACAAATTAAAAATCCAAGAAGTATTTAAATACCTACGTTACCTAACGTACCTAAGTTACCAAGAAAAGCTAGATTTGGAAAGTTGGCTTAATTTCCCACTTGGGTTTAGATAAAAAAATATCTTACTCATATAATATATTAATAATTACTATTTAATGCATGCTGCATCCCCTTTCATTAAAGATATTTTCTAAGCTTGTCACTTTTAATTTATATGTGAATTGACAGTATGATAATTTAGTAGAAATCATTCTAAACTATATTCAATGCATTTATTATAAATTTGTAATAGATAACTTTATTTTTTAGCACAAAACGACCCAAAAGAATTGATTAGTAAGTTTTATTTAAATTTATTAACACGATCAGACATTTTTTTTTAAATACTTAAAGTATTACAAACCATAGATTAATATTATATGGAAATAACCATTATTTACAACTCATTTTATAATTCATTTAATGATTGGTCAAATTTAATATCTGTTTAAATCGCACTACAACATTTATTTTATTTTATACGGGCGTGACTCACCCGTAGTAGTAATTCAATAAATTAGCACGTAGGCAATTCAGTGGAAGTGAAAAACGGAACCAGGAATTTAAGTATTTATTGAGCAGGTATTAGTGTAAGAACGAAGGGTGGACGTGAGAAAGACGTATCATGCTGTCTATAAGATCGCCCAAAACTATATTTGATAGTGTGCAAAGGGATTGCAAAAGTGTTGGTAGAGCAGGTCAGACGTAGAGGGACTCGAAAGTTGATGAGGAAAAGGAGAGAAGGTGCGTCCACAGAACCACCAATGAGGTTACGAGGGTAATGTTAACTTTTCTATTGGCTAGCGTTGGTAAACCAAGCACGTGGAGAACAGAAGAGTATTTATGTAACAGGTGGGAGATATTCCATGGCCAGCATAGGACAGAAAACGTCTTTGAACTCACTCGATAATTGCAGAGTCGGAGTCTGTAATGGGATCCTACGAAATTTAATCATACTCAAGCAGGGGTCGCATTAAGAAACAGTAAAGTCTTCAGTGAAGAGGTAAGCTTGAAGTCAGACGATATTCGTCTTACGAACCCTAGAGTCTTATACGCCTTACAACTTATTGATTGGATATAATAGATATGATAGTAGAAATCAAGGTCAGAAGATAAAAAAAACCCTTACATTTTTTTTATGATACAATATTAATATTGTTAATCGAGTAGGTGTGGCTAATTAAAGTATGAGATCTAGAGAAAGACACAGACTGGCACTTGTTCACGTTCAAATTAAGATCAATAGCTTTGACAGTCGGAGTCTTTAGTAATTCGCCAGAGTATTTTTAGGTCGTCTGTAAAAGCTGGGATATCGTAATTAGGAATTATTTGCTTGCTGCCGTTAATAAACAGGGAAAATATTACAGGTGAAAGGTGGCCTTCATAAGGAACACCTGAAGGAATAAAAGAGACATCAGATTTACATTCATTAATTTTCACCCATTATTACCTACCTTATAGGTATGATTCGAACCAAATTAATAGTGGATCATCAAATTCAATCTAACTAGGTACATAGAGTAAAATGATGTGAACAACTCTGTAAAAAGCTTTTTCAAATTCCGTAAATATAACACCAACCAGGCACTTACTTTCAAAATCTTTGAGAATAAAATTATTGAGGACAAATAAGTTCATCATGGCTGAGCGTTCTGGCCTGAAGCCATACTTTCTGTCAATAGGAGTCGGGCTAACTGAAGGCAGGCAGAATATTTTAGAGTACGAGTTTTACAAAAAGCTTTGGAATATGGCCTAAAATAGAAATTGATCTGTAATTCCTGACACATGATTTAACCCCAGATTTAAAAATGAGGGTGATGGTGCTTAGTTTCCAGATGGATAGACATATCTCATCGTCTAATGAATATCTAAAGGTTTGTCAGAGTAGGGCGGAAAAAAACGATTTAAGGTTTAAAAAGAAGGTTCCTGGAAGTCCATCAGGTTCTGTAGAATTCACGTTTTTTAATTTATCAAAACCAGACTTTATACCAGCAATACTAAAAAATCAATTATTAGGAAGTTTATAATACTGGTGAAGAAAATTAATTTTACTCTTGAACAAGGAAACGGAGTAGACTGAGTTAAAGAACTAAGACAATAGTTTAATAACTATAGGCCTATATTATGAATGAGCAGTTCTGATGGTATGTATGAACAAAATTTGCTATCAGTCTAGTAATCACAAACCTTTTGAAAAACCCTTCAAATATTTAGGAAATCGTTCTTAAATATTCGAAACTTGATATACGTTAAATATTTGACCGTGTGAACCCGGCTTTATATAATTTCATAATCCATGATAAATGACTATCAATTTAAAATATTATTTTGTTATTTTAAAATATTTTGTTTATCAATATAATTGTTTGTGCATGTTTTTTTTTTTTTTTTTTTATCAAAAAAATAAAAATGAATTTTATAAATATATTCTATCTACTTAAATTAAAAAAAAAAAAAATAAATTTTTAGAAAAGTTGATCTCAAAATACGAGTGTTATACCAGATGATAAAGAAATAAATCTATAATGTGTATATTAATAAAATTATTTTTTTTAAGCTTTTAACAATTATTTTATAACTAATGATAACAAATTAATTATCATGCCAATTAAAATGATAAATAAATTGTCATGTTTTTGTTTTAGTGTACCCACTGAAGTATTACACCCATCTTATTACCAGGTTATCAAAATGTATGTAATAATATAGTGTAAATCATTTACATATATTGGGTGTATTAAATATAGCCATAATAATATAATGATACTTTTATTTTAAAGGTGCGTTTAGCTTTAGACTGTAGCCTAAATACGAACGGACGAAAGAACGAATGACTATTTGCAAATGACTTAATATGTCGTTTCAAACGTAAACTAACAGCTTTTGCTCCAAGATAATGATATGATCGAATGTCTACTGAATTCACTTCGTATTCGTTCATTCATTCATGTTCATTTGTTCAGGCTCAAGTTTAAATGTACCTTACTAATATTCAATACTGGCATACTGGCTGTCCTGCACTACATTTTCTGTGCAGAGTATTGAAAAATATTTATATTAATAATACAAATATTTAACGAATTCATAAAATTAATTTTTGTGTTTAATACTCACCATTCTAATGATACGAATGATTTGTAATAATAGTTCCAATTTTGAGCCCAATCAACTGGTGTCGAAAAAGTTAGTATAAACTAGATCATAATAGTACCTAAGATTAATGATAATATTTATACTATTTTCAGAAAATGATTTATTAAAGAAAATAATTGTCTTATTAAAAACATATCATTAGATACCGATTATAGATATTAATAAAGAAATGTATTTAATTATTATATAACCAATATTAAATACATGTAGAATGCCACACCCAGGGGCATAATTTCAGTTATTCATCGGGGGTGAAAACATTTGAATTCAAACATTTTTTCCTACCTTTAGCGCATTTATATATTATCATTTATCTTTTTTATTTTGTGGAACTGAACAAATTTGCTTCTCGCTCATATTCGTAGAGACGACCATCGGTAGTTCAATTAACTTTTGTATTATATATTTTATTGAAAAAAGCAATTGAAAAATATTTAAAAAAACCAAAAATGGTAGAAAGGTTTCAATTCCCCCGCCCCCTAACGGCTTTAAATTATTAAAAATAATTATCTTACGCTACACAGATTATTAATGTAAAGTTATTTTTTTTAATAATACGTACAATTTTATTTAAACAAAATAACTTTATGTTAATTATTTGTGTGATATTAGAAAATTATATTTAATAATTTAGAGTCGTTAGAAAAAATATAATAATATTAACTTGGATTGCTTTTTTGATGGTTTTATGGGTTTATTTTTGAATTTTTAGTGCAATGATTCTCGAGCACTATAATAACATTTATTTGACCACCTATATCTAACACAAAGACAAAATTAAATAATATTATGTTATGAAAATAATAATAATAATATTAAAAAAAAACAAATGTATCATTGAAATAATTTAAAACACTAAATAATATTATTCTCATGAATATAATATTCATATAATTTCAGATAAACCAAGTAAGTCACTGTCATATTAAATGTTATTATAATAGTATACAAAGTATATTGAACTAAACCAATAATTTATTAAATTTCAGAATCTAGGGGTAAGAATACAAAATTATTATTTATTTTTAATATACTAACGGCTTATTTTTTTCAAAACACAATAAGTGCCACTACCTTTTTAAATTTGAGTATTAGATTCGAAACGTAGCGAAGAGTTTATTGGTTTTATCTATTGGTCTATTATTCTATTATGATGTATATTTTTTTTTTTGTATTTGTTCAAATTGTTTTTTCAATCGAAAAACAACAAGAGAAAATTTTTGTTACATTTTGGCTCTAATTAATTCAACGCTATGATTATTTTATGATTTTCCAAGGAATTTTCATAATAATTGGAAAAACCGAAGAAAAAATTATCGGAAAATGGAAAAATATTTACGATGGGCTGCATTAAAGATGTCGATTTTATCACTTTCAATTTCTACGCATTATGTTTTCTTCCAGAAAATTTGATAAAAAAAAAAAAAACAGACCTATTTTATTAAATTTTGAATCTAGTTGGCGGTTAAGAAAGTCGTTTTTTGATATTACACGTAGTTTCTTTTTTTTAAAAAATAGGAAAAAAAGGTACAATATTAAACAAATATTATTAAAGAAAATGTTTATTGTATATGTAATTATTTTACCATAATATAATATATTATATTATATTGTTTAAAAAGTAACACTATAATTCCAACTATGCTCAGTATCGTATTTTCATGAGCAATGGTAAATCATTGCCTACAGATATATATTAAATTTTTCCTCTACTACCTTCCTAATTTCTCACTTACAACAGTGGTCCACCTACGTGCGAAATATTTTTTCATTGTGTTCTGTATTTGAAATTACAAAAAATGTGGGTGCTTTTACTATTATAGGTAAGAATTAGAAAAGGTAGTAAAGGGGAAATTTAATGTATATCTGTACGCAACGATTAACCATTGCCTACGAAAAAACGGTACTGAGCAGAGTTCTAATGATGGTGTTACTTTGTTAACAATATATGCAGTGAAAACTAATTATAACGGAATTCTTTTTAATGAAAAATTCTATGTACCGTACAATTAACTAATAATAATTAATATTAATTATTAAGAGTTATTAATAGTTATTAACAATTAATAATGGTTGATTATATTGCACCTATTTTTCCATTTTTCCTAAGTTTCTTCCCAGTTTTCCCGTGTTTTTTTGCAATTTTACCTATTTATTTGAAAAATTCCTAGGAAAATCAAAAAAATAATACCTAGCAGTATCACCCCCGTCAAATTTCCTTTAAAAAAAGTAAAACCATTGTAAAATCATTGTAAAAACATAAGCTTTCTCGCTTAACTTAGAATATAAAACGCAACAAAGTGTTGCTTATTTTTACAAATTATTAATTGTTTATTTAAATTACGTATTCACAAAATACTTTCAAACAAAATACGGTTCTTACAAAATATTTTTCCGAAAAATTATTTGCCAATATTTTACACGCCCCTTTCTTATTATTTCATGATAAAATATTGATAATATATAAGTACGAATGTACGAATGTACTTATACTATAGTTTTAACTATTGTTGGGTCAATTAAGTTTTAAGATAGGGAATATTTTAAATTCTTCGAAGAATATAAACATTTTAAAATAATTTTTATTTAAATTCATTTTTAATTTTTAATTTTTAATACTGTGTGTTGTACACAGTATATATCAACCTCGATATAAAAACGGGACAATTCGAATTTTATGTAAGATTTTTTTTGCCGTAAGAATTTTAATATCAAATTTAGATAACAAATTTTAAAGAATACGGCCTTTTAAAACATGTATATTGTAAACGGAATTGCGCTGAGAATCGCTTTTTATTAGTAATGATTAATCGTTGTGTACCTTTCCAATTTTTTACACATACAACAGTGGCCCACATATTGTGCAATGTAGGTCCATTATTTTTTAGACGTACAATTAACCGTAATTTTTTTTTGTTTTTGTTATTTTATTACTCTGCTAAGGATTTCATATTTTTGATTCGGAAATGAGCAAAGAAGCTTATAGTTTTACAAAGTTGTTTATTTATTTTTTTAATGTATGCAACTTTTCTACCCGAAGACTTACTCGGATTTTTACGTGTATCCTTTTCCGAAAGGAAATCGGTTCCAACTTTAATGATGACAATGTTTCTAAAAAAAAAATTTTACTTTAGAGAGGTCATTTTTCGATTTTCTCATGAGTGTTCCCAATAACCGTGAAAAACCGGGAAAAACGTAGGAAAAATGGGAAAATAGGTACAACATTAAAAAAATATTGTTAAACAAAATGTATAAAGTCTATTTAATTATTTTACTTTAAAATCAAATATATATATATATATATATATTGTTGACAATTCATCACTATCAACTGAACTCCGCTCAGAATCGTTCTTGTGTAAGCAATGGTTTATTGTTGCTTACAGGTATACATTAACTTATCTATAAGAGTGGCTACATCCGTCCTCATTATCCTAGAACGTCTTTTTAAATTCACTTATGTTTTAGGCAAATTTTATAAAAATAATCAGTTTTAGAGCAAAATATTATAGAATTATATAAAAACGAGTGAAACTTTCTCTAAATCAAAATTATTTTCTAAAAACGTTAGTTTCTTTGGTGGATTGTGATTAAATAATTCGTGATATTGTAAATAATTTTCTTACTACATTTTCTTTGTTGATGTGCTTATTTTGATTTCCTTATAATTATTTAACTAATCACCATTTTAAATTTCAGGGATATCAGGTAAGAATAAAAATAACAAGAAAATATTCTACAGTTGAGGTAGAAAATCCGGGCATTGTTCGTAGGCTACTAACACAATGATCGAACATTTTGAGTAATATAAGGATAATGGATTATAGACTCCATTCGTCCTTACATCGATTCACAAAGCACAGTGTTCGGTTTGATTTCCTTGGTTTTTTTTTATGGAGGCACTCTGTATAAGTGCCCGTTAACTATCCTCCATCCGAGGCATCAAGCTTATCGGGACGACCGATATGTACGTGCATACGTACACCGATCGTTTGTAGTACACCGCCAACTTTTGGCACCAATACGTACTGTGACGGGCCGTTTTTGTTTTTTGTGTTTTGTCGTATTTTTGTTGTGCTGTGAAGTGCCTGTTAGCTGTCAACAGTCAATCATTCACAATCAAAACCCGTATTTTTCTATGTTGTTATTTGTAAATAAATATTTGGCAGTAGTTTCGCTACCAAATATAAGGGTGATAAAAAATACAAAACTTAAGAGTGCAGGGTTCTTAAATTTGCAATGAAAAATAAAAAAACTAAAAGTGAATACTTTTTGAAATAAGGACTGGCTTACGTTATACTCATCACTCTATATATTATGGTATAAGAGTATAAACTATTCGAGTGATAATTTAGTCTCTTTTTAAAGAGATTGCCCGTTTTGAATTATTTTATTTGTATTGCAAACTTATGTCTTGTAAATCAAACTTATCAAATTATGGTTTTATTGAAAAATAGTTTGTTATTACTTACTAGTATAGGGACTTATATAATTTTAAGTATGCGTTTGTATACTTAGGAATACTTGAACTCGTATGTCTCCATTTAATAATTTAAATTTTGATATACATATATGTATTTGCTTATTTTAAATAATATATAGAACATAACAGTTATTATACCATTGATAAAATAAACAATTTGAATTAAACCCCTATTAATTTAATATATTTTAGCTACAAAAGGTAAGTAATTTAAATTATTTATTAATTTAAAGTATTTTATTATTTTATTTATTAAAACCTGGATATCTTAAGGGTTATAAAGAAATTTAGACATGAATTAGTTCAAAAAGTTCTGTAACATTTTGATATTAAATGGGGTAAATATCCAAGGATATTAAGTTATTAGTAGGTATATACCCATTTTTAAATCCCAGAGATATATACAAAATCACAGACATCTTAGAGAAATATGGTATAAGTAATAAAATGTAGTTATGGGCAGTTTGTTTAGAGATTAGATTAAGGCATTGAACTAGAATACCAAACATGAAGTTCGTTGGAGGAGCCAATTATATCTATAAAACAAACTTTGAACAAGTATAGAATGTAGTATATTCAAGATACGAGATGAAATCAATTTAAAAACCAAATCTTTTAGATTATGAACGAAGTGTAGAATGTATTCGTTTTGCTACTATTTGTACGATTTATTTGTAGTTTATTTTTAGTTATTTTTCTCTAAACAAAAATGACAAGAAACCATTTTGGTTGCAACTTTGATTTATGATGTATGTATTGGGGAAGCCATTTTTAAAATTTTCTAGCAGTTTTAATTTTATAATGATTACGAAAAACGTAACAGAGAAAGTTTATGGGGCGGCCATATGGGACGGTTTCGTTATTTATGATTTTGTTTTAATTCTTAATTATTTAATTTTGGTTTGATTCTGTTGTAATTCAATCAAAAATTGTCTCAGAGGATTTTCACAAAATACCTACTTATCCTGAATTTTTCTTTACGTGGTAAAATTTTGAAATCCTTGAAGTACTTGAACAATTAATATGAGATAAATATGTTTTACTTAGTTGTGAAAAAACAAAGTTGAGCGAAATAATATGAAATTCGATTTTTAATGTTAAATTTTGGTGTAAATCGTGTTGAAAAAAATTACGACATTTAAATATATATTTTTAAGAACTTCGCTCGGAATCGTAGTTCGTAAGCAATGATTTATCTTTGTGTATAGATATAAAATAAATAATTTAATTTATATAATATTATAATTTCTTAATTTCCTTATAACAACAGTGGCATACCTATCAGCAGTATCAGATCTTTTAAAATATAAATTTATTTTTCGACTCCGAAAATACAGATGACAAGGCTGCGAGGCTTTATTACACAAACAGTGGTATAATCAGAACTTGTCTCGTTGATGGTCCAACACACATTATTTCTTTTTTTTGCGATCGGTTTTAATATTTTGTAACTTCCTCTTATAATAATCTGATTAATATATCTAATTTCGTTAAAATAATAAATTTAAATATTAATTCTAATGAGAAATCAATTATTTTTTTCTAATTTCTAGTATGCATCGGTAAATATTACTCAAGATTTGTATTAAAATATTTCAATATAGTTTATTATTAAAACTAATCTTTTCATCAATGTCGGCCTGGTATATCAAAGGCACCTGAAACATTTTGTTTTAAGGGGCTTCATAGATAAAAAATTAAAAGACAGTGAAGTATGGTATTGACTTGGAAATTTATATTATGGGTAAATAATATTTCTAAAAATAACAACAAATTTCGTAGCGACATATATTAATATATAAACACTTATATATATATATATATATATAGTCAAAAAATGATTTTCAGTCACATTTTGTTTTCATTAATTTATGTATAGATTTGCTCACTAATATAATTACCAATCAGAAATTATTATATTGTATTATTTTACTGCAGTCCGCAATATAGTCAACTAAAATCTAAAAAATGCTACATTTTTGTATATGCCACCTTATATTTGTGCAAAAAATAATAATTAAATGTTAAGATTTTATAACTCTTGGGGCATGATGAATGCCAGGCACAAATATGAATAGACTCCCGCTACGTTCGCATTCGGTCATGGCTAGGCCGACATTGATTTTCATCGTGTATATATGGTATGAATATTACTATATATATATTCTTAATAAATATTAAAAAAAAAAAAAAATTGTTGTTTATTCCTTACAGTTGAATTAATATCATATGGCTTTAATTCAGGTAAGTGATTTATTTAAAAGTTTTGTCACTCACAAATTGAGTAATTTTAATAATTTTGGTTTCAGCGTCGACAGGAATTGAAAATTATGTTCTTCAATGGGAAAAAAAACGTAAATAAAAATAATCTTTATAATAAAGTTAAATTAACTTTATCTATGTATATGAAATATATAACTATAACTATTATGCAATTTTAATTTAAAACACTGAACAATCTGGAAATAGGCTGCTTTCGTAATATATATGAATACAAAATAAAAGAATATTTAGAGCAATTCTTTTTATTTATCACATGAACCAGCGATTATTTACGGACAATTTGAGTAAATTTGAATTATTTTTTTTCCTTCGTCATAGGAATATTCAATCATTGAATCTAATCAACAATATTTTAAAAATTACACTTTCCTTGTTTCGTATACTATAACAATATTTGGCTTTCAAATAACCATGTTTTGGGATGAAATCCCCGTAGAATCACAGAGGAAATGCTGAAAACCACTGAGAGCAATGCTTTTTTACGTCGAGACGTCGAGAAAAACCTATTATCACATTCTCTCTGATGTCGACCCAGGACCTGACCGCGTTGATCGTCGACTTTTCGACTTTTCTAAAATTGTGTTAATCTGCAGAAAGATCTCTCTTGATTTTTGTTTCAAATCTGTCATCAGTTACTTTTTAGTACTTTTTAGTTTAGGTCTCCTGTAGTCACTCATTGAATAAAAATAGTCATGATATCGATAGCATCAAGGTGCTATCAATTTGTATTCGGGTAGTGATTGGTAGTAACAGTAACCTGTTGACCAAATTTAAAAGTCCAGATACCAGTATCGGTGACGTCAACATTGCTGGAAACGATGACAGAATTATCTTTAACTTCAAGTACTGCAGGGGAGATCGCATAGATTACATCATCAAAGGTAGCTGTGGCATTGAGATCTAGGACCTTATACAGCACTAAGTAAAACAACCTGGAAACTAAAACTTGATACTAAAGAGTAAAAAAAAAAAATGTTCTAAGGGAAATTGTATGAAGATAATTTTAAATATAAATATAAGTTTCTAAGTATTTCTTAGTATAAAGTGAAATATAACATAGTTATTTTAGGGAAGTTTAACTGCAATATTTTCCCCGTGATTCTAGTGATATTAAAAATAAAAACATTTTTTTGGTAAAAATAAAAAATGTATGTATCAAAGGGTTAACTCATATAATAAAATAATCACTGGTTCATAATAATACTAATATGTGTTATGGACTAATATGTGTTAAATACCTATTATATAAGACATCTATTTATTTTTTTCAATTATTTAGAAACTAATTCAAAATCCATTTCATTAAAAGGTAAGTTACCTATATGTAAAATATTATCGAATCTCAATTAAACTAATAATTAATATTAATAATAATATAATTGTAATAAAAGTGGTGGGTATTCTTAAAGTTTAATTAAGATATGGTGGGTGGGGGGGGGGGTTAGTAAAAATTGAAAATGTGATCAAACTACCTTGTTTTCTATTATTCTTAACCTAACCTTTTTAATCCGTGAAAGTGAGATCAGTTAACCTTACTTTTATCTTCATCCACATCTGTTTATCCAAAATTTACAACTATTCTTGTTCCTACTTATATATAACAAATATATTTAGTAATAATAGTATATATATATATTTATATAAATATTATATATGCGTTCTCGTATATTACTTAAATAACCTAATTTGACCCATACATTTAGCAAATTTTTCTCTGGTGATACCTTATCCCCGACTTCCATCTACACTAATCTCTCCTATCTTCTTTGTTATCTCAACGTTAAAATATACGTATAAATATACACTAGTAATACTATACAAGCCTTACCAAGGAGGTTTCAGACCAAACAGGTCAACAACAGACCAAATATTTGTGATTAAGCAGATCTTTCAAAAAATGT